CACTTTGATTATTCACTAAACTATACATGTGGTTATCAGGATGCTGTTCAAGCTGCTTATTGGTCGCATTCGACTATTGCCTTGTTTACAGTTGTAATCTATTGTTACCAATTAGAGCCAAAATCAGTTGTACTAAAATACGACGATAATGATAAAACAAAACGCGCCACTACTCCATACTTTAGTGAAATATTTGACCTCTATTGAATAGATTATATAAAAAAAGTTATATTATGAAGTGATATTCCTTGCACTCATTTCAAAAGTAGATATATGGCCACATACATACAACATTGCACTGTCAAGTATCATTTTCAGAGTATAGAATGGAATTTCTTTGCTACCTATCACGGTAAAGGAGCAGTTGATGGAGTAGGAGGATCCTTGAAGCGATATGTTTGGAATAGCGTAAAATCTCTGGAATTTGTCGTCTTAAGACTTCCTCTTAGCATCAAATGAGTGCAAAACTTATGTTAGGCTTATCAACACTGATGATATTATTCTAAAGTGAGCCTTAATAGCCAACAAAATAGAAGAAGCAAAAGCCATTAAAAATATTACCAAAATGCATTTCTGGCAAAAAAAAAAAAGGAATATTTTTAGTTTTAAAATTTTCTAATATTTTTTAATGTTTTTTTGAAACAAATATACTTAGTTAAAGAAATTTACTTGTACAATATAATTACTTATTTAACCTATGTTTCAAGCAGGAGAATAAAAGGGCATTAATCTTTTGTTGCTTAATCCAAATAAAAGTAATATGATCATACCCAGTCATCATTATCATACCCAGTCATTATCATACCCGGATCATTATACCTAGTATAAATGCAATATGATCCCAGTGATAATGTTATAAAGTGCATATTTTAACATAACTTACTTGGTTTTTATTATCACTCATCTTTTTTACGCTATTCATTGCGCTATGCAATGAATTCAATAAATGCGCCATGCATTCAGTTGTTTTCACAAGTGGCATTTTCGTTATGACCATCACGACAAAAAACATAATAAAATTCTTGTTAAACATCAAGCAAAAACTATGAAACTTGGCATATAACAAGATTAATATGTAGTAAATGCACACAGCAAAGGATTTTTCACCAAGTTTTTTCACCGTGTAGATGACTGCATAAAGATTATCAAAGTCGATTTGTTTAGAATTGTCAAAAAGTAAGTGTTACAACCGTCACACTACGTTGAGACGTACGTTGAGAGTTTTTTAAATATGTTGAAGATTTAAATAATTTAAATTTTGTTTAATAATTTTTATAATAGTATTTAACATTTATATATATATATATATATATATATATATATATATATATATATATATATATATATATATATGTATATATGGGCAATTCCATTCAAGTGAATGTCAAACTTTGTCAAAAGCTTTAGTTATGTCACGAACAATAGGTGTAGCCTCTCTGCCTTTAACTAATGCATGATAAAATCTTTTAGTCAGCAGTAACTAAAATCTTTTAGTAGCAGTTAGCACGACAGCTGTAGAGCAAGAAGATCAAAATCCTGTCGAGCAGAAAGTTATTCGACTCAAGATGGGATGTTTGAAATTTGCTGAGCAGAGACTCAAAGAACTTGCTAATAACAAAAAGGAAACTGATCAGAAGATAACTGGAGTGTTCAGAATGTTCTCCAGAGTTTTAAAAATTGGAACCAAAGAGACCATTTTCTAGCAGACAGGAAAACAAGACTCAGTCAAGCATTTATTAAATAGTTTAGAGAGAATTAAAGAGAGTTCTGGAGAACAATTTTGTAAGACAGAAATGTTGTCTAAACAAGTTTAATTGAGATATAACTTTGGCAACAGAAGCTGGAGTGATTTGAATGTCTAACGTAGTTATGTGCCGGGCACCCGGTTTGGACGCAAGGACCCAGTAATTTGGCTGTTTTCCCGGGTACCCAGAATCGGTCATGTTTTTGCACTACCTGGCACTGGGTATCTTGAAAGAAACTTTTAATAAGCATAAACCTTAAGTGCTTTAACTATTTGTTTTTGTGGTACTTTAAATAGTGTCAAAAATTATTAACAGGATTGCTTTTAGTTTAAACTTCAACCAATAAATTATAAATAAATTCTTGATATGAGTCTAAGAATGTTTCAGAGTCAATAACCACAAAGTCCTATATACTAAATATGGGCGTGTCTCACTGAAAAAAAAATTCTAAATATATTTTTTGCAATAATAAAATATATTGCATAAAAGGAAACTGATTTATACGGATATAAATTCAGTAACACAAAATGAAATAATTAGAGAATACAAAAGGAAAAAAAGGAAAATATATTTGAATAGGTTCTTTTTATTGTTTGAGATTAAAGTAATTAAACTTTTAATGAATGAGTTAGATACTTTGATGTAAATGAGTTGCGTTTTTGTTTTTTTTTGCTTTCAAATACAGTTCATATTTATGATAACCAATCGTTTACAATAGTTTAAAATAGATAACTGTTTACAATAAGCATCTTAGATTTCTTACATATTAATTTGTATTTATTTAAACAATCGTTTAAAGATTTTCCAGGCACCCAGGACTCATAAACTGGTTCCAGCACATATCTAGTCTAACAATGGGTTAGTTTGTTTAATTTAAATAAAAAGATTAGAATGGTCATAAGATTCAAAATTCAAATTAGAAGAAGTTTTTGTAATTAGTTTTGCCTTATCCTTGAGAAAGGCAATAACATCAGTCCCATGAATGAGAGAAGAAATGTTAGACCTACCCTTGTTAATGACACAGTTAAAAATTTTCCAAATGTCTCTAGAGCCTAACTTCTCAATTATGATACAGGATTTAATGAGCTGAAAACGATAGAGCTTAGCATCAGACAGCACTGCATAGCATCAGACAGCATAGCTTTGCATCAGACATAAAAAGTTCATTCAAAATTTTTTTTTTTTTGTGACTTTTTTAAAAGTTTTAAAATCGCATTAAAACTTTAATGTGATTTTTTTTTTTTTTTTAACATCTTTGCTTTCAACAAGGCTGAAAGCAACTACTACTAGAGTTGGAAGTTACTCGAAGAGAAAAGATAAAGTTTATAGAGCAAGATAACAATTGACAGATGACTTAAAAGGTTGCAAATTATACAAATAAGGAAAACAAAATAAACAAAATAAACTCCAAAGATGGTTGAGAAAAAAAAATTAGATGAACAAGAATTTTTGGAGCACTTCAGAGTGCTCACACAGAACAGTCACAGTAAAAGTATGAGATTTAATTAAATGATGAGTAACACGAAAATGAATTATAGTTTGCTTCCTTTATCTTGCTTTCCTGATTCATATAGTTTGCAATCTTTTAAGTCGCCTGTCAATCGTTATCTTGCTCTGCAATCTTCATCTTTTCTCTTCCAGTAACTTCCAACACTAATTAGTGGTTGCTTGCAGCCTTTTTGGAAGCAAAGATGTTTAAAAAAAAAAAAAAAAAAAAAAAAAGATGGCATAAGAGCTCTTTAGAGCAGCACCCATTAGAGTATTTATAGAAAAGAGAAAGAGAAGCAACCTTTCGGCAATGTTATAATGGTTAGAGGTTGACTGCAAGAGCAGGTCCAATTATATTTACAATGTGTTTTTGCGTCTTGTCTAAAAGAGAAAGGGAATCATTGAAAGATCCTCTCCAGATGTGGCATACAAAGATGGAATTGAAGTTTTTAGAAATAAAGAATAGAATCCTTAGTAATAAAGTGGCGAGCACGGTAAAGAGATGCAGCCTTAGCAGATGCTAATTTTACAATTAAATTGATATATGGTTTCCAAGAAAGATTGGAAGTAAGAGTTAATCCTAGAAGACAAAGCGTAGATGACTCTTTGTACTACCGCTCATAAATATAGGAAGATCTAGAGTATTGCAATACAGATTAGCTGAAAAAAAATTGGGTTTTATCTGAGTTCACCAGCCACTGAGAGTCAAATGCTGCATCAGAGGTGAAATCCTTTTCAAGGTCAAATACCCCCCTCCAAGCAATCAGAAAGTATTGGCTTCTTATCAAGCCAAGAATAAATGGTAGTATCGTCAGCAAACAATGCCACCTTAGATGTGAGAATTTCAGGAAGATTGTTAATGTATTATAAAGAGTTTAGGGCCAAGGATAAAACTTTGAGGAACCCCTAAAGTTACAGGAAGAAGAGTGCTGTCCATTAAGGACAACTTTTATACTAATAATTGGTTAGAAAGGATTCAAAATTATTAAAGATGTTATCTAATTCACCATAAGAAGAGAGCTTATGGAGAAGACCAGCACTCCAAACTATATCAAAAGCTTTGATAATGTCGTGATCAATAGCCTTAAACTCTCCACATGTAATGCAGGATAATTACCATTAGCAAATCAGCAATAGAAAGAGAAGATAAAATTAATGATCAGAAAGTAAGTTATTAGATTCAAGATGAGACATTAAGTGTTTGTTAATTAAAGACTCAAAAACTTTGTTTATGAGTCAGAAGACTAATGGGAGGGTTAGTTGAGTCAGATGGCTCTCCAGAATTTTTGAAATAAAGGATGCTGCTTTTCATCAGGCCAGACTGATAAACACTTGTTAAATTATTTTGAAAGTATAGATGACAGCTTCTGCGAACATTTTTGAAAGACTGTAACAGGTATGTTGTCGAAAGCAGAAGGTGTAGAAGAGTCTAATCAGGAAATCACTTTAGATACAGAATATATATATATATATATATATATATATATATATATATATATATATATATATATATATATATATATATATATATATATATATATATTTATATATATATATATATATATATATATATATATATATATATATATATATATATATATATATATATATATATATATTTATATATATTATATTTTCCATTCAGATCCTATTTTTTTATGAGGCATTTTTTTGTTTGTTTGTTTTTTCTGTAGTCTTTTCATATTGTTTTTATGATTATTATTTGCAATAAAATTTTAAATAAGTGTTATTGAAAATCAATTTTAGGCTGTGAATTTCGCGGTGGAGATGAAAAACTTCAGTTGCATGAGGTTCAGTGTTCATTCCAAGAAACAGCTGTTGAATGGGATTCTATTTGTGATGTATAATATATTTATTTGTTGTTATAATGTTGCATTTATTTCTTTTTTCTACAAATACTTTCATGGTGAATGCTTAAATGAGCTATCTCTATTACAAGAAGCCAAAGCTCATTCTTATTTGGCTTTTTATTCAACAAGTTGCATCCTTTTAATATATCTGTCCCTTCATGCTATAAAAACTTTTATTAATCCAGTTTTTTTCCTTGCACATCAAAAAAACCTTTCAACTTTTACCTATCTTCATGTTTTCCTTTTTTATACAACCTACAACTTTTTAAGCCATCAGTTAACCTTTTACTAGTATTTTAACTTATTCTGTATTCAAAGTAACTCATAACTTAATAGTGGTTGCTTGCAATCTTGTTGGAAATAAATTAGAGTTTAAAAATATATAAATATATGCCAGTATTTAATAAATAGTAAATGTAAGCATAAAATTATAATATATAAAGTATTAAAAAATATTTTTCTAACCCCGGCTATCAACCCCTGCTAAATCTTATTATTTTTGTCGCTGCTGGGGCCTGAGCCGGGTTTGCAAAAAGTCTCATTTTTAGCCGGGGGCGAGGTCGTGGCTGGGGACCCGGTCATTTACTAATACACTCATACATGCATAAATATATACATACATACATACATACATACATACATACATACATACATACATACATACATACATACATACATACATACATACATACATACATACATACATACATATATATATGCATACATACATGACACTATTATTTATAATTATTACATTTAAAATATTACTTTGTTAATTATTTTAGTTGTTATAATTTGGAAAATTACTTGGGTCACCATAAATATTTTTTAACTGTGTACAACTATATCAGATTAAAGAATTTTTTTCAAAAAACAGAAAAGAGCAGAAAAACAGTCAAACAGACTATGTAACACTATAATTACCAAAAAAAAGTTGAAATCAAAATCAGAACTTCTATGCTGCAAAAACCTTACTTCTGTGATTAGGACTATGCTATTTTGAAAAATTTGTGTTTCTAAATTTTAAAACAATAGTTTGTGAAACCTAAATGTTTGTTTCTTTTACATTCAAAGGTTATTAGGTTCACTAGTTTTTAGTAAATTTCTAATGGTATGAAGTGATAGATCGGATGAATAAAAAAAAGTATTTTAATTACTCAGCATTTTTTGAGTAATTGCTTTATGTGAATAAAAATTTGAGCAACTTTGCTCAAATTTTTATTTATGTAAAGCTGAGCAATTACTGTGTTTTTTTGAGTAAATTGCTTTTTGTGAATTTAGGTGCTCAAGTTTTTATTCACATAAAGCTGAGTAATTACTCAAAAAATGCAGAGTAAAAGCAAATGCTTTTTTTTATTTGCCCAGCCTAGTTATGGAATCAAACTTTAGTTTCTTGAAAAAATAATTATATTTTTATGTTTCTTTAGGGAGAAAATGACGATGGTTTACATGCTAAGTATCTTGTTAAAGCAGTTAAAAATTTAAATGAAAGAGTTGGTTTATTAGAAAAATCAAAAGATGAAATTATCAATACTTTGGAAAAATATAACAGGTTTTTTCAAATATATATATATATATATATATATATATATATATATATATATATATATATATATATATATATATATATATATTTTCATTTCAGTACTTTGACGCAAGTTCAGTTTGTTTATTAAGCAAATTTAATGGTGGCATAATAATGTGGTATTTTTCTGTCAAATATAAATTGCAAAATGGTTCCGCCTGATCGAAAATATTTCATATTAGTATAGGTTCTAAACTTTTATTTTTTTATTCCCACACAAATTTCAAAAGTTCGATGGAGAATTCAAGTTCATCAAAGTGAACACTCCATGGCTTCTTTTGTATATAATTTTTGTAGTTACTTTTTGTTTTTATATCTGATGATTGCTATTTTGTGAAACTTTTAGTTATGTAATTGAAATATATTTTAATAATTATTAAGTTTTCACTGTATTAAGTTTTCACTGTATTAAGTTTTCACTGTATTAAGTTTTCACTGTATTAAGTTTTCACTGTATTAAGTTTTCACTGTATTAAGTTTTCACTGTATTAGGTTTTCACTGTATTATTTGCACTACCAATTGTATAACAAGCTGTATTGAGCCAAAAATTTGTTTTCATGGTAGCATTTTGATACCAGTTCATTTCTTTTGTTTAATAATTTCAATTTTGATGTTATTATGTGATACTTTTCAGTTAGGCAAAGGTTGCATAATTAACTAAGCATAAACTATGCATATTTAATTTGCATAAATATGCCCCTGAAAGATAAAGAACAATTATGAGCACTTTATCACATAAAAAGTACTGTGGCTTTTGTGTTCCATCTCATTCAGCTGCAAAAGTGAAATCATAGGTGACTTAAATTGTTATATTTTCTTTCTTTTTTTTTTAACATTTTTATAAAACTGTAACAAAGAAAATTATTTACAAAAATACAGTTCAGTTAATGAAAAACTAAACATTGATTTTGTTTCATATCGGGCGGTGCATAACTTGCTATCAACTATCAGTTGAAAATATAAATAAAATTTTTGTTTAAAAAATCAAAATTTTATCTAATAATTTTTTTTAAATCTTTGTTATATATGGACCCTATATGTGCCTGCTATATTTGTTGTGGCTTCCTCAATGTTCCATTCAACACAGTTTAACAACCTTGCTGTACAGAAATTTAATTTTTTTTTTTCAGTAGCTTTTTAATTACATTTCTAAATTTTTATCTTTCAAAAGAGAACTATTAATTTTTTTCATCTTGACGATATTTTATTATTGATATTTTAATGTATACTTTAATTTTTTTCTGTATAAAGTTATTTTTTCTTGCATACTTTTTATGTATGTAAGTTATATAACCACCTTTCTGGCAAACTAAATAATAATTTAAAGAAACACTGCATTCAATATTCTCTATCCTAACAATAGAGTGAAATAACAAAAAAATGTCTACTATCAATAGAGTGAAATAACAAAAAAATGTCTACTAACAACAGGGTGAAATAACAAAAAAATATCTACTAACAATAGAGTGAAATAACAAAAAAATGTCTACTAACAATAGAGTGAAATAACAAAAAAATGTCTACTAACAATAGAGTGAAATAACAAAAAAATGTCTACTAACAATAGAGTGAAATAACAAAAAAATGTCTACTAACAATAGAGTGAAATAACAAAAAAATGTCTACTAACAATAGAGTGAAATAACAAAAAAATGTCTACTAACAATAGAGTGAAATAACAAAAAAATGTCTAAGAAAAAATTTAAAAAAATTTTATACAGGTTTGATGTGAAAAAATTTTTGTATAGTTTTTATTTTGTGTGCTTTTGTGTTGTTCTATTTCTTTTCCATTTTTTTCTCTGCTCAGTGGCCTTGTTCATCAAGGTTTGTATTTCAAGTTAAAGAGTTGAGAGAAAGTTTTAACCACAAAATGTCTCCTTGACTGTAGTGACTCTCTCAGCCTTCAAGAGGTGAATAACATTTTAAAAAGTTAAAAAAATATCATCTACAAATCTTCAATATCGTCAAAGTTTATTGTTACTAAGGATTTGATTGATAATATGGAATAATAAACAAAAAATTCCACAGAAAATTAGAACTCTGATTACAATTTAGTTTTTGGTCAAAAAAACATTTTATGACATTGAATATTGACTTTGATCAAATTATCAATTTAGAAGGTGTTATATAAATGTTTTTAAAAAATTGGAAGCATTCTGTTTTGCAACAAAATGTAACTAAAATAATGAGAAAAAACCTCATGGTAAAATCTCAATGAAATTCCTTGAGTGTAATGTTTTGGGGATTTTTAATTATATCAGAATGTATTAATCATTAAAAGGTGAACTTTGATTCCATATCTTAAAATTATATTTCTGCGCTGCAAAGACTTAGTTGAAATTCTCGCATCAGTTGAAACTGGCATTTCTAAATTGATTTAAAAATGATGATGTATATCTTATACTGAAGGAGTTTACAAATTTTTTATTTGAAAAATTGCAACCAATGCACACTGATATAGCCAAAAAAAGTGATAAATGCTATCAAAAAAAGGATAGACAGGAGAAAAGATCCAGTTTTAATGACTTTCGTAGTTTATCTACAGAGTGATACCAAAATTCTTCGATCATTTTAAATATTGCTTGAAAAATACGCCAACTTCATTTGCTTTAAAAATTTTCTACAAATATATTTATAACAAATACAATTTACGAATTGATTTATAGATTAGCATGTAAATGTTAACAATGATTCTTCATTGACTTGACTTGATGACTTGATTTGATAACAATTATTAATAGAAATAACTTAGCTTGTTGAATTGCAAGAAGAACTCAAAAAAGTACTTCAAAAAGAGCTTCAAAACGCAATATATTCTATTTCAGACTAAGAAAATTTCTGTCAATAATATTCTTACAAAAAATCGTTGACGATCCTTGACGTTTTGTATCACGCTTTAATAACATTTTGACACAACACAATGCCCTCAACACAATCTTTTGAAAGAAACGTTAAACGTTTGAAAGATGTTAAAAAGAAATATTTTGAAAGAAACATTGAGATGTTAAATGTTGACAATGTCTTGAGAATGCTTAAAATTGTTTAAGATTGTGAATGAACCTCTGGGCGTGATAGCTCTTGCTAGTTTCTTTACAAGAGTAAAGATTAATTGTTTAAGATTGTGAATGAACCTCTGGGCGTGATAGCTCTTGCTAGTTTCTTTACAAGAGTAAAAAATAAAAGTAAAGAAAAATCTTGTTTATTTGGTTGATCTATTAGAGCTATTTGTCTTACCTGAAAGTGTCGGGATCGCTCCCGATTCATCACTAGGCCTGCATTATATTACTTTTGATAAACTATTTATTAGCATTTGAATATTTTTTAATTTGTTCAATGTTTGAATAGTTGAAAAGCTCAAGTAGTTGAATGGTCTAATATCGACTTTGCTTGTATGAAAATTCTATCACTTTATTTTTTTTAAATACTAAATAAAAAAAATAAAAAATATTATCAAGTATGTCATAAATAAATTAAAAAAATAAATTTTTATTAAGTTTTAAATGAAAATAAATGTGTAATAAATGAAAGTATGCCATGAAAATAAGTTTTTACTAAGCTGAAGATTACAAATCTGAAGATTAACTTTTAATATAATACTATATGTAAGATAAACAACATAATTAAAAGATGATTCAATAATTTCAAAATAAAAGATTGTTAATTTAAATGAATATTAACTTATATGCTGATTATTATAAATTTAAAAGAAACAGCTTTTTTTGTCTTTTTAAATTTTTTTTATTCATGGTTTTTATTTCAGCAATGTTATCAATCTTTCAATACAAGTGGAAAAACTTTCTCAAAACATTGAAAAACTTCTTTATATACCTAAAACCAACAGCGTTCATCAACCTGCCTCAAAATCTATTTCTGATATCTCATCACAAAATCATAGGCGGACAGTCTCAACAACCGGATTAAATACATTAGATGATGTTCGGTCAAGATCAAGTTCAAGTGCTCCTTCACGAATGTTTAGCTTCGCTGAACCTAAAATTGAAATGTGGAAAATGCCGCTGTCATTTAAATGTGTTGGAACATTTAGGTGAACTTAACATTTTTTTTAATAGATATTATAATATATAGTTAGATTAATATTATAGTTAGATTTAGTAAATAAAAAAAAATTATAATAATACTAAAACAATTAATAACTTTTATTTTTTATTCTTCATTTTTTGAGGAAAATATTCTCATATTTTTTCTTATAATTTTTTATATTTTAGTCTATTTTAAGTGCTTTTAGAGAACACTGGTAAACATGTGTAAACCTCAATGTTTACTCTATTATTTCTGCCCTATTGATATCAAAAAGCTGAAATCTAAATATTTCTATAAGATCAGAGAAAAAAGTATTACAAAGAAAAAATCTGCAATAATTACCTACTGTTTAATCAATAATCAATTGTAACATGTAAATGTACCAAAAAACATGCATGTTGCATGTTTTTTGGCTTTCTGATTGTTTTTTGTTTTTTTTTGTAGCTGCAATCAGTTTACAAAAATAAAAAAACCTACAGATATCTACCATCTTTTTAGATTGATAACTGGTTTTCATGACAGTGATGTCTAAATGGGATCTTTTTTTTATTATTGGTCAATTTTATTTTTCCCCAATGTTCCAGAGAGGGTTTTTGGAGGAATTTTCTTTAAATTTTACTTAACACTACCTACAAAACATGTTGTTAAACGAGTAATATAAGAAAGAGAAACAGAATAGAGGATGATTGCAATACTTTCAGAGAATCTTTTTCATTGTTTGTCTCTTACTGCATCTGTTTAGAAGGAAAAAGTCAAGATGTAAATCAAGACACGAATCTTGATTGACGATCTGCAACTTATGGGGTACCTCAAGGTTCTATCTTTGATCCTGTTTTGTTTCTTATCTACATTAATGATCTCTTGATTTTACCAATCAATTTGATAAAGTTTGGCGTGCTGCTCTTCTCCATAAGCTCTCTTCTTATTGTCTATCAGGCAACATCTTTAAGATTATTGAATCCTTCCTTACCAATCATAGTATAAAAAGTTATCTTCGATGGACAGCACTCTTTTTTATTTCCTGTAACTTCAGGGATTCCTCAAGGTTCTTTCCTCGACATTACACTTTTTTAAATTTACAATAACAAGCTTCTAGGAATTCATACATCTAATCTAGCATTGTTTACTGATAATAATACCATTTATTCTGGTCTTGAAAAGAAGCCAACATGCAGCATGGGGCTTGCAGTGGCTGGTGAACTTTAACTTAGATAAAATGTTTTTTTAAGTTAATTGATTTTACAAAAATCTAGATCTTACTTCTAATCTTTCTTGAAAATCATATACCAAATCCATTGCAAAATTTTCATCTGCTAAGGTTGCATCTCTTTATCGTGCTTCTACATCTCTATAAATCTCTAAATCTTCCTTGTATGGAAAACTGTTGCCATATCTGGAGCGGATCTGAATGATGCCTTTTCTCTTTTAGATAATGTACAAAAATTTAGTTAATGGGTGCTACTCTAAAGAGCTGGATTCTCTTATGCCATCTACTAAAGTTCGCTATTGTGTTATTTGTCATTTAAGTCTTATCCTTGTACTGTGACTGTTTCTAAGTGCTCCAAAAATTCTTATTTGTCTGATTTTTTTCCTTGAACATCAGTTCTTTGGAATTTCCTTCCTTCATCTTATTTTCCTGACTCATATAATTTGCAGTCTTCTGTTAATTGTCCTGCTTCACAAACTTCATCTTTTCTCTTCCAGTAACTTCCAACTCTAATAGTGATTGCAGTAGTGCTTTTGTAGTGCAATTATTATCCAGTTATCTATTCATCATTTCATTTCACATGTATAAAAAAAGTTTGTTTTATTTTCGAAGCATTTGTATAAATAGAGTTTATTTCGTTTTATATTTATATTAATGCAGTTTGTTCTCTCAAAATCTAATAAATCGTGTATATAATAGTGAGATTTTTTTACTTTTTAAAGATTTTTTTCATACAAGGTGTTTTAAATTTTAACGTTTACTCCTGTTTATAAACACTTCTGATTAAAGCATAAAAACATAATAGTGGATATTTTATTTGTAATCAACAATATCTTTCTGACTAAATATTACTATTAATTGTAAATTTTTATTGAATAATAAATTTTAATGATTTTTTTTTAAAGTTTTTATTTATTTATTCTTGAAATCTTATATATTTTGCAATTATTTTTAAATTTACACAGAGGCCACAATGGCACTATTCGATCAATTGCATCAAAAGGTATGTATGTTTTTAGTGGAGGTGATGATCAATCTATTAAAGTTTGGGATATTCAAGATAAAGATATGAAAAATTCTAAAGGGTGCATTGCAACACTTAAAGGTCATACTGGTGAGGTAACTTAGTATTTTTTTACAATATTTAAAAACATGTAATATTTTTGTGTAATAGTATGATATGATTGTGAAGTGATATGATTGTGTAATAATAGTAATTGTGATAAATATGTGATATTTTTAATTGCTAATTTGTAGCTTAAAAGTTAAAATTAAATGTGAAAAATCTTTTCATAATAAATAAATAAAAAAATTATAACAAAAAAAGATTTAAAAATCTTGTAAAAAAATTAATAAATATAAATATACTTAACATTCTTCGTTTACTTTTGCAACTTCTAATTTTAATCTAGAAAGTTTAAATCAAGGTTAAATAAGCTTTTTAATAAAAGTTATTTTTAATTTCTTTTATTTTGTTGAAAAACATATCTTATGTTTTTTAACAAAGTTCCGAAACGCAACAATTAAGAACTTTTTAAAACATAAAAAAACATAAAAACATTAAAAAACATAAAGGAACAGTTACAGTAATAGGATGCAGTTTGGAAAAATGACATGTCATACGAGTTTGAGTTTTTATTAGTGGAAAAAGTTATAGAGCTAAGTCAAGCAGGCTTGAGCAGCAACAATAATGGTGTTAGTAGAAAATAATGCAACCACATACATGTATAAAATATGCACATACATATATATGTAAACTTTGTATATCTAGGAATATGTATATGTAGGACAGTAGCTCAAGCTTTGCAGAGCAAACTAGAGCAAGTGCGACCATATTTAAAATGGTTTTTTAGACCTTGTCTAAAAGAGAGAAGGTATTATTAGAAGAACCAGTCTATATATAATGACAGTATTCAATACAAAAATGAATAAGAGAATGGCAACTATGATAAAGAAAGGCAATAGATTTTGTATAAGGTTTCCATGAGTATTCAGTAGTAAATATATAAAATAGAGAACTTTTTATCAATGTAGGAATATCAACAATATTATGATAATTATTAGTGGTAACAGCTATATTAATATCTGCATATAACAGCTATATTAATATCTGCATATAACAGCTATATTAATGATCTGCAAGATCATTAATATAGCTGTTACCATCAAAGTCAAACTAAAACTTTTTGTTGTTGTTGTTGTTAGTTTACCTCCTCAAGGCCAAGAAGCCTACTACAGATGAGGAGGCTACTTATTTATGGTTATAACCCTCTCTCAACTCTATAACTTGGAAAAAGAAACTTTGATGAACAAGGTCACTGCGCGGAAAAAAAAATAAGCACGGTACTACCAGGGGCATGGTTGGGAATCGAACTCCATTTGAAAAATATTCAACTTAGATTTTGAAAAATACTTAACTTAGATTTTAACTGCATTCACTTATTGTCTTGTAAAAGACCTTCTCCTAGGCAAAGACTTTGGGGGAAGCAAAAAGTTTCTATTAACCAGCACCTTTTCTTTATTTAATAGGCAGGTATAAATTTAAATCTGTATTAAATTGTTTACTTGTTAGAATGATAACTCAGGAACTTTTTAACTCTATTCCTGGGCTTTTGATAGTCTCCTTGGTAGTGGCTATGCAACTTTTTCTGTTATCTCCATATGAAAGTTCAGCTTTAAAATTCACTTTAATTGCTCTGAAGCTGTATTTTTCTGAACTTTGTAGATGCTTTTAAAGTAGCTGATTCTATCTATAACTGTAAAATGTCAGAGTATTAACAGTGTCGTGTTGAATATGGAAGTTGTCCTAGCTAGCACTTTTAGTTTGCACTGTCAAGACCACATAAGAGGTAACCTTTGTTACAACTTTGAATCAAATGTGGAAACTGCATAGCCTACTGCTTAGGGTGTACACTACCTACAACTACCTACATACACTACCTACAATTAAGTGACACTTTCTAGTTCAAAGCAATAATAAGGTGTCTGAAAATATTATGAAAAAAAAAAACATTATTTCAACCAAGTAGTTTAATCTATACTTTACAAAGATTTGTGACCTTAAAAGTAAATTTTCAAACATTAAACCTTTAATTTGCAAAACTCACCAAACCTATATGTTCTTTGTGAGCATAAAGCTCTTCAGACTTCATCCATTGGTTACAAGACTCTAATAGCCACATTCTTAGCCATGATTTATACTTATCTTTATATGCAAAGATGTTTAATATTAACTCTAATCCTGCCTAGTGTCATGTGACTATTCAACTATTCAACTTGCCAATCTACTATGAAATCAGGCATAAATTCTCTGACAACTCTTTCTATTCACTTCTTCACTTGATCAAATTTTTACTTTTTCTTTATCACTTGTCTTTCCCCTAGGACTACACTCTTTTTGATGTTGTTTTTAATTAAAATGACCAAAGTTTTTTTCTTTATTCCTCAGCCATTGTTGTTAATGATGATTTTATGTCATCAGACTGAATGGTTTCACTTGAGTATTACTTATTGCTAATTAGTATTATTTTCTGAATTATTTAATAAGTGTTTCACTAAATCTTGTCTTTCTACAAGCTCACTTCATATAATGAAAAGTTTTATAAATAATAAAATAATTTCTTTTTAACTGGAGTATTAAAGACATTCTTGGTGGACAACACTCCCCTTTTTTCCCATTAACTTCTGGGGTACCACCAGCTTTAAGCCTTGGTCAATAAATTCAAATAATTCAGAAAGTAATGCATTATCATTTAGGTTTGTAAACATCTGGGTTTAAATTTGAAGAAGTTTTATTTTGTTTTTGCACAATATATTAGTCAAACTGGAATTTAAACTGAAATTATTCTGGAAGCTAATGTAAACATAACTTAAAACTTCAACAATGACTTATGAATTTATATGCACACTCCTTGCATATTCTCCCTATTTATATCAGTAAATGTATGCATACTCCTTGCATGTTCTCCATATAAGTCAGTCCATGTGCATACCTGCCCTGCGGGTATGTACATGGACTGACTTATATGGAGAAAATTAATCATAGACACATACCACTGCAAACCAAGGAGACTGCCAGGTTTTATGTCAAGGCACTCATAAAACCTTTTGAACATAAAAGCATTTGTTCTGTAGGTTTCGAAAAGTAAGTTTTTAAAACCTCGACTAAGTGCTAAAAGTCAAAAAGGGGGCAAAAGGATAAGCCTGAGGGGGTCTTTACTACAGCCTGAGGGGCCCATCTATAAAATTCTTTTTTTTTTAATATTGTTAATTTTTTGTTTGCAGCAATCTGTTACTTCAAAATTGTTTAGATTTTTTGATGGGGAAGTTGTACTCTGAAAAAATAAGCATAAATATTTTTATTTAATTTCAATCATAAATAACATCTACAACAGCATAGTTATAAATATCTGTAACAATACATCCATATAAATACATGTATGCACCTATGAATAATATATGAATTTATATACAACTAATTAGATTCATAAATAAATATACACACAGACATGAATATACATATATTCCTATATATGTATAAAAATGTGTACTTTTATGTTTATATATCATGTATATATGTTTATATATTATATACATGTATATATGTGTACATACATATATATATATATATATATATATATATATATATATATATATATATATATATATTGTTTTGTTCTTATCATACATTGATATGTAGAATACGTACATATACGTAATATATACAGGCCTCGACAGGAAGAAATTAGTGCGAGAGCTGCAAAAAGCTCTCCTAAAACAAACATGGCGAGCTATATGAGCTGCTCCACTAGACAGCTTCTTAGGGGAACTTTTGATTATTGTGATCTTTCTCTTTATTCATTAAAAAAGTTGCTTAATAATTACAAGTAGTAACTTGTAATCAAAGTAGTAACTTGGTTATATTTTAAATATGTTACTGAGTAAAAAGTTTGTTACCTATTAGTATTGCTTAATTTTACAAAAAATATGATTTAATTTTTTTGTTTTGATAAAAAAAAAAGAATACATTACACAAGCACTACTGTTAATTTGTGTTTTTGGGAAAAAATAGGGACCTCAAATTTTTTATTTTTTTTTTTACTTTTTCGTGTCAATTTTTTTAGCAATGAAATAATTTCTTAAAACCTAGAGTTTCAATTATGTAAAAAAGTATAATTTATTTTTAATTTCATTTCTTTGCTCAAAAAAAATTTTTTTTGTGTTGAAGGTATTTCTACTTAAGCCGGTCACAACTCAATATGATGCCTGTTGTCAAAATTTTAATAGCACCCTATCATATACAATAAATCCAAACCTACAGTCTGCTTCATAAGAAGTTGGCTCTTTTTATTTATAGCAAAATTTGCAATGATTTTGTTGTAGCATAAAGTTTTTGCAAAATAATGATTAAAGATATAACAAGGAAACTGACAAGACAATCTTGAGTCAGAGTAGATCTTAGCCTTATCTTGACTAGACCAAGCTTACTGAATGGCTGCTCTCCTTCAGCGATGGTAACAGAAATCATGTTTAAAATATGCAAAAAGCTCTCCTAAAACAAACATGGCGAGCTATATGAGCTGCTCCACTAGACAGCTTCTTAGGGGAACTTTTGATTATTGTGATCTTTCTCTTTATTCATTAAAAAAGTTGCTTAATAATTACAAGTAGTAACTTGTAATCAAAGTAGTAACTTGGTTATATTTTAAATATGTTACTGAGTAAAAAGTTTGTTACCTATTAGTATTGCTTAATTTTACAAAAAATATGATTTAATTTTTTTGTTTTGATAAAAAAAAAAGAATACATTACACAAGCACTACTGTTAATTTGTGTTTTACGCTTTCTAATTAGAATTTTAAAGAAAATTTAAAACAAAGTTTTAATAGTAAATTTAAAAAGTTAACAGTAATTTTCACTCTAGTAAGTAGTAAGTTTCACTCTAAGTATGCAGTAATTTTTACTCAAAATATATTTTTAATGAGCTAATTCTTACTATTACATCAGTAAATTTTCCGACCGGTAATGTTTACTTGTACTAAACTTGTTTGTTGGTGCAACCTTGTTCCTCAAGGTTTGTGTTTCAGATTTTTAGAATTGAGGAGGGTTTAGCCATAAATAAGGTAGCCTCTTTAACTGTGGTGGCCTTCTTGACTATAAGGGGTGAATAACCATAAGAAAAAAAAACTATAAAATTTTGATCTCAAGTGAAAGTGACTCACTGTCATACTGACAACTATGAAAACCTAACAAATTTGTAGCCATTTGTATTGATTAATATAACATTTTATAATGGGATTTTAAAGTTATATTTTTCATTTTAGTTGTATTGTTTGATTTCTGTGTATTTAAGTTCAAAAAAAGTTGATTATCAAATATTTGAAAAAGACTTCTAGCAAATGTTTTAAATTTTTAATCACATAGCTAAATTATGATTACTAAATAAAAAATATCAAAGTCATTGTTGACACTTACATACTAAAAAGTGAAATTTTAATTAGTGAAGGTTTTTTTCCTTTTTCTACTATTTAGGCCCTCTATTATTTTTTTAACCCCTCTTCCTAAAATTTAATAATTTTGTTGATTTTTCTAAGCTTTTTTTCTAAGTTTCTTTTTCTTTTTTTTTAAGCATCAAGTAAAAATGAAAGTTTTTTTAAATCTTTTTTATTTAGATTCATGCTATATGTACATCTGGTCAGTATTTATATAGTGCTGGCAGCGATAAATCTATCAAAGTTTGGGATGCAAATACACTAAAGTTGCTTTCTTCAAAAGGGGTAAAACTTTAATTAACAGTTCTTGAATTAAATCACATCTAAATTTTAAATTTTGTTTAACAAAAAAGGTGTTAAATATCACATTTAACAGGCTGGGAAAAAATAGGGACCTCAAATTTTTTATTTTTTTTTTTACTTTTTCGTGTCAATTTTTTTAGCAATGAAATAATTTCTTAAAACCTAGAGTTTCAATTATGTAAAAAAGTATAATTTATTTTTAATTTCATTTCTTTGCTCAAAAAAAATTTTTTTTGTGTTGAAGGTATTTCTACTTAAGCCGGCCACAACTCAATATGATGCCTGTTGTCAAAATTTTAATAGCACCCTATCATATACAATAAATCCAAACCTACAGTCTGCTTCATAAGAAGTTGGCTCTTTTTATTTATAGCAAAATTGGCAATGATTTTGTTGTAGCATAAAGTTTTTGCAAAATAATGATTAAAGATATAACAAGGAAACTGACAAGACAATCTTGAGTCAGAGTAGATCTTAGCCTTATCTTGACTAGACCAAGCTTACTGAATGGCTGCTCTCCTTCAGCGATGGTAACAGAAATCATGTTTAAAATATGCAGCAAAATGCATATTGATTCGATGAAAGTCTGTAGACCTTTTTTGGTAGAAACCATTTAATTGAAGTGAGAAGTTCTATTGGACAGAAAAAATTGGCGCTTCAGAGTATCCAGATGACAAACCTCTCCAATAAGTTTTCCTTCATCCCCATCGTTTACTTAGTTTTAACTTCTTCTTTTTCACTCAAGCTTCTATTAGGTTCTGAAAGCCATAGGAATGAAAAACTGTTCATTGTTGTTAAAGTAGCTTAAAACCTAAATTCTCACTAAATTCTCATTCCTAAATTTGTTGAATTTGAGTATCAAAATAAGTACCATTTACCTTTAATTGCTTCTCTTTATTTTTGTGGAAATAAAATTTGTTTTTAAATTTTTGTGAAAAATCTTTCTTTTCATTGTTTACTTTTGAAAAAGCCTGATTAAAACCCATAACTTGCTTGACAGGAGGTAATCGAATTCATTAATATATTTGGCCCAAGAAGATCTAAATCTGATGTACTCCTTTTACTGATGTAATCGATTTTACTCCTTTGTACACATCAGGCATGCTGGCTTATTTATCATATCTTTGACTTCCACAGTTTTTACATGGTGGGTACTTACAAATGACTTTAGAAACTTTATAAATCTCTATTTCAATAAATTTAATTTTACAAAGAACATTCAAAATGGTGAAAAAATTAGAGTTAGTAAAACGTGAAAAACAAGATTGTTTGTCTTTATAAAAGTAATTTTGCAACAACTGAAATTGTTATTTATTTAAAACATCACAGATGTGGCCACAAGTTGGTAAATTGAACCATAAAACCTTTAAGGAAAAAAATTCTGCAGGTCTGACAATTATTTGCTGGTCTGACAATTATCTGCTGGACTGATAAAGAATTGGCTTGGTGGCCCACCAATAATGATAAAGTAACAGCATGGTGGCCCACCAATAATTTTTCTTATGAAATGTTATTTATTTTTGAGCTCTTTTTTAACAAAAAAAAATGACAGAGTTTACAAGGTAAATTTGCAAGAAATCCCGAATAATGCAAGGGCTATTTCTTGATACCAAAATGCATCAGGATTTATAGCTTTTAGTGCATTCTCCAAGGAAGGAAAGCTTCCTCTAAAATTTATTGATAAAAGAATTAAAATCACCCAGTAGCTCTATTAAAATGACATTTTGAAGTGTGAAACCTAATGTGGATAAAATATTTGGTTATCATCCACATACCTTCCAGCAAGATTCAGCCCCCATGCATAAAGCAAAAACCATTCAAGTATGTGTGAGAAAAATTTTCCTTGTTTCAATCCAGTGTTAGAATGGCCTGCCAGCTGTCCAGATTTGAACCCATTAGATTATTTTGCATAAGGTTATGTGTTTGAAAATCTAAAAAATGTGAAATGCAACAATTTTTTAGTTTTTAAAGAGATTTTCAACCCTGAGAAAATGCTTTTTAATTACCCATCTTATATCAACACCAAAAACAAACCAGAGCACAAAGGTATTTTGTTCAGTATAATAGATGTCAGGAATTATTGTCATTGAGAATGAAATAGTAAATATTTGTATGCCTCTTTAATAATGCGCCTTTGATGATTCCTCCATCATATTATAAAATTATTTTTACTTTCTTAGTTTGAATAATTGAAATAGAAAAATTTAAGTAGTGAACTTGAATGCGAAAAAGTTATTTTTATGGTATTTAGCCATTTTAACCATATTGAGTACTCTTTTGTTGAGTATGTTAAAACAATTCTTAAAAAAGTTTAAAAATTTATATATATCATGCTATTTTAGAAAAGTAAAAAAAAAATTTAAACACTGTGTCTAGAATTTTAATTCTGCACCCGCAAAATCAGAATTCTAAGTACATGCGCAGCTGCCATATGCAGCATTATTCAATGTGTTTGTGCTTTTATTGGTTTAAAATTATATAATTGTTGGCCAAACAAATTAGGCCAACAATTACATAATTTTTTTTATTTTATTTAGGTGCCCCAAGAAGATCTAATGGTCTTGTCACAGAGCACCACAGAAGTGCACATGACTAAGAAGTTCACGCCTCAGAGCTTGTTTCGAGCTATGTCCAGAGCTCGTTTCGAGCCTGGATCTCCTGCTTATAAAGCAAGCGCTCTAACCACTGGGCCACAGTTGCACAGTTGAAAAAAAAAGGGTTAGTTAGGAAATGTTCATATGCTGATATAAAATTAAAAAAATTCCTGAGTCCTGGAGTTCCAACAGTTTTTATCACAAGCAGAAAAACAAGTAATAAAGAATTAGGGATAAGCAAAAAATTTGTTGACCAGCCTTGCATCCCTTCTTCATCTTATAGGTTGAGGTAGATATAAGTCTGTGTTACTTTGTTTTAGAATGATGAATGATAGATCTTGACTCTACTTATTTGCTTACACAAATATTTATATTTGTGACTTGTTTTTCAGACAACCTAAAATATTTCCTTCATGTTTTGTTTTAGACCTATGATCTCTCTAAATCTTTTATCTTGTACCTTTTCTTTAGGCTTGTCCTATCATTTATTCCAGCCTAATAGATCAAGAAGATGTGCATGGCTGGTCAATGTAATTTTTTATCAATCCAATTTATATTAACAAAGGTATGTGATAAGGGAATCTTTTTACCTTTCTCAAGAATAATACAGAACTATTTGAATAGAAGTTTTCCTCTAATTTGACTCTTGAATCTAATGGCCGCACTCTTCCTGTCATACTAGAGAGGCAGTTTATTCCATTGTTAGCAGGGCTATGGAGTTGGAGTTGCGGAGTTGCGACAATTTTAGTAGCGTCGGAGTTGCTAAAAAACATCGCGACTCCGACTACGTTAGCAATATTTCTTGGTATTGCACGTGTATGTACAAAACATTCAATTAATCTTATGTTCATACTAAACCTCAAAGAACGTTGTATAAATTTGTCAAAAAAAAAATTTCAACTTATTGTGCAATATTTTTTAAAGAATTCAAAGAATTTTTCAAAAATTTTGCTTTGGAGTTGGAATCGGAGTTGGAGTCGGATTCGGAGTTGTACTCAAAAAATTTCAACAACTGGAGTCGGAGGTCGTTACTTTTTTTTACGACTCCACACCCCTGATTGTTAGACATCCACATTACTCATGCTTCTTTTGCTAAATTTATTTTTCTTTTAAACTCTTGCTTATCAAGGTTCCTGTTTCAGAGTTATAAAGTGGAGAGAGTAACCACAATTAAAGTTGTCTTCTCAACTGTATTGGCCTTCTTGGATTTTTGAGAAGTGATTTAACATTACAAAATAAACAACTCATTTACTGCTTATGATCCAGACAACATTTTTGTCTGAGTCTTACAAAAATGTTTTCTAAAACTGTCTTTAATACTCCCTAAAATAATCAGTTAGTGCTCAACTGAATCTTGTTTTCCTATGTGCTGGAAAATGGTATCTGTGATTCTAATTTTTAAAAATTCTGGAGAACACTCTGATCGATTTAGTTATTGTCAAATCAGTCTTCTCTCTTTTATTAGTAAGTTCTTTGAGTCTTTATTTAACACACTTCTGATATTTCAATATGGATTTTGATCAATCTTGTTCTACAGCTGACTTGTTAAGTGTAATAATATAAAGGTCTATCAGGCATAAGACGATTGCAGTGAGGTAAGCGGTATTGCTTTTGAGGAATCAAAGACTTTTGGTAAAATTGGCATCCTAGTCTTCTCCAAAATTCCTCTATGCTCAATTTGCTGCTGACACTGCTGATGACACTATTTGCTGATGACACTGATGATGATGCTCAATTTGCTGATGACATTTTGTGTCTTGACAAAATTTGTTACTTGAATTTATCTTCTCCTCTGTAGCAGCTTAAGGTTTACAATGGGTTGCAAATTTTAACATAATTATCTGCTGCAAAAAAATATTATTGCAATATTGTTGATATTATTTTAATAATAAATGGCACTCATTGAGTGTTGTTCAGTCTTCTTTGTTGTTAAGCCCTTATTGTTGTTGAATCCTCTTAGTTGTTGAATCCTCTTAGTTGTTGAGTCCTCTTTGTTGTTGATTCTTCTTTGTTGTTGAGTCCTCTGAGCCTAACTTCTAGTTAATGAGGAACTAATATAACTATTGATGAACTAATATAACTATTGATATATGAGAAACTAATATAACAATATAGGTGTGTAAATGCAATCGGAAATTCCAAACCTCGAATTTTTCCAAGAGTGTACATTTAAAATCATATGCTGAAAGGAGCACCTCCAGGAACTAAGGGACCAGCATATATAAGTAGATGGTCTAATGCTGAAATTTTTTATAATAAAACATTTTATTTACCACGTCAAATGTTCTGTAGATCAGGCAGTATTACTATTGGATAAACATGAAACTCATGTCAGTATTGAAGTGATTGCTTTTAATGATTAAAATTGTATAATAATACTTACTTATCCTCCACATACAAGCCATAAGCTTTAGCCATTAGAGAGAGGTGTGTTTGGACCTTCTATTATTTCTATTATTCTATATTTGGTCTATCACCGTATATGACATTATAGAGAACATTGGCAAATCATATCCTTTGATTTTTGCTCCTTTAAACATTATAGCAGGTCTTCATGTGTCTAGTGTATACCCACTTAATCAAAACATATTCACTGATAATGAATATTTGAGTTCAAGTGTAACAGGCAGACAAGATCCAGCATTAAATTGTCCAAGTAATTGTATTTCTGAAAAATAAAAAAGTTTATTAAAGATTCATCAATAAACTCCCTTATATCCTTATAAAAAATCATTTATCAGCTATGAAAGCAGACTTTTCTACATCAAAATCTGTATGTATAAGAACAGGTCTGTCCTTTTCCAAAAGCAAAGGCTCGTGAATCTAAAAAAGGTGGTAGAAAACCAGGTAGATACTGAATTCTCACTGACACTCTAGAAAAAAATGCAATTTCCCTTCAATATGCAACAAAAATTAGAAATGCAAAAAGAGGGAAAGCTTATTTCATAATCTTTGATTTGAATTGAATCATCAAGATTAAACAAATTTTTAATAAAATTTTTATGTCGAACAAAAATTTAAAAATTTATATGGGTATATATTTGCTGTCTGTTTATTACAGAGTTTAACTTTTCAGAGAGTGGCCCTAACTACAATAGCTAGTGGTCCTAGTTACAATTTAAAAATTCTTATTGTACCTAGGGCCACTAATTTTTAAACCCTTCTACAACAGGTCATATTTTAAGTCATTATAAATTTCTTAGTACAAATTATTTAGTATAGAGATGTGGTCTGTTTTGCAATTAAGAAAGCCTTGAATTAGTATATATTGAAAAAATCCAACCCTAGGAACATAAACTTCCCCTATATATTTTTCAAAATTTATATAAGACGTTTATATAATTTTCCTTTTATAATATTTGGTATTATTTTTAATAATACAAAGTATATATATTTTTTTAAGAAATTTGTTACTGTTCACTTTTCTTTTGCTTATGAGTAAACGAGTATTAATATGCTACATGTATAAGAAAGAAAGTTACATTATTATTAAGTAAATCTTATTTAGGATGCACATTTAGATGTGATTGGTGCATTGATGTCAACAGGAAAATACATATTTAGTGGTTCCTATTCATCAATAAAGGTTTATGTTTTTTAGTTTTAAGATATATATTTGGTTAGGGAGTTTGATCTTTTTTTTTTTTTATATAATTTTTTTAAAATATGTATCTAAAGGACAGAACGAAGGTAAAAAAAACTTTAATTAAAATTTTTTTTTTTTCTTTACATTTTTAATACTTAATGCTAAAAACTTAAAAATGGTAATTGAACTTTTTTTGTTTATTGCATTATTTCTTGATCTAAAGACATGCATTTTTTAAATAGAAAATTTGTTAACAATTTTTTTAGATAGTTTAAAACTTGTCTGTGATGTAAGTTTTTTTTAATAATTAGGTTTGGCGGACTGTTACTCTTGAACTGTTGCATAGCGTATCAGATATTTACCATTGGGTTCGAGCATTCGCTGTTTCTTCAAAACGAGTAATTTTTGTTAAAAAATATTTTAAAAAATAAAAAGTATTTAAAAATATATATATTTATTGTAGATAAATAATAATAATTATTATATATATATATATATATATATATATATATATATATATATATATATATATATATATATATATATATATATATATATATATATATATATATATATATATATATATATATATATATATATATATATATATATATATATATATATATATATATATATATATATATAACCTTCAGAATTAGGAAAAATGAAGTTGGCAATAATTAGCCGATCTCAATCTTTTAGAGGTCGGCAAAAAATATTTCATACAAAGGTCTGACCATAAAAAATAAAAGCGAGGTTGGCAATTTTTTTACCGACCTCAAACACTTTTAGGTCGGCAATTAGGTTGGCATTGCTGAATATATATATATATATATATATATATATATATATATATATATATATATATATATATATATATATATATATATATATACACATATACATAAACACACATATACATAAACACACAGACACAAAAGCGCATGTACACATTTTTATATACATAGTTTATTATTATTATAATTTTAATATAACTTGTTATTAGTTTAACCATAGTACAATTTAAAAAAAACCATAAATACAAATACTTTATAGAGTTGGAAATTATTTTTAAAAATTTTGTTTCTATATTAGAAGACAGTCTATAGTGGCTCACACAATAAAGTTCATTTATGGAGTGCTGAAGAGCCGTTTACATGTCTTGGAGAGCTTACTCACACACATGGCTCAGTCTATTCTCTTGCTGTTACTAACCACTATTTGATTATAGGTAGGTTATATTTTAATCTGGGTTGGATGATAAGACCTTGTCTTCTGCCAACTCCAGTTGAATTTTTTATGTTATACTTTTATGTTGTAAAAATATAGTAAAAGCTTTTTTTTAATGACAAAATATAAAAATAAGAAAATATAAAAAAATAAAAAATCTTAAGTTTTGTTTTGATAAGTATTGTAAAATGTCACTCTACATTTAAATTTTGAATTTTGGGTTATTCACAAAAAACTATGCTGCATTCCTGTCAATTTATTGATTTTTTAAATATCTTTTAATATAATCAATTTTTACTACTTTATATTATTATATTCACTGTACACCAGAGAGACCGCCAGGTTTTTTGTCACGTCACTCAAACCAAGTCCTTATTATATGAAAGTGTTATATATATTGTTTTAGAAAATATATTTTTTGAAATCGAAACGCGTTGCTGTCATACCTTTTTTGATATAAGTATATTATAAAATTGTAATTAATTTTCTTAATTTATCGCAGGATCTAAACTTATAAAAGTGTTTAAAAAAATTGTTTTTATTCTTGAAAACTACTGTTAGATATTTTTTTAATGGAGGTAACATTTATTTTGTAAAATATATTATTCAATATGAGAAATTTCCGAGATAAAAAAGATGGTAGCAAATAAATTTTCAAATCGCAGAAGGTTGTGTTATTTAGGAGTTGTATTTCTTTCACTTAAATATGAATTCTACTTGCTGCTGTCGCTGGAAAAAGTATGGCGAAAGATCAAAATCATTGAAAAAAGTGAATAAAAACTTAAAAGAACAAATTCAACTTTTTAAGGTTACCAAGGTATATTTAATGATTTTTTAATTCCAATTTTTGTTCTTATTTTTTCTTTTGTTTATTTATATTGTTATTATATTTATAATGTATATTTATTTAGGTAGATTGGAAAACTCTTTTAAAAAATAGCTCCAGTAACAGTCTAACTTTTCCAGATAAGATAACTAATTTACCGACAACTGATTCAAGTATATGTTCCTTTTGCTATACATTACCTGAACCTGGTTATTCTCATAACTATACACTCACCAGTGCTGTGGCTAATATCATTACATTGTCCTTCCTTCTAGGTTCGATTTAAGCTGAACAAGTAAAAAAAAATATATTTTATTTATAAGTTTTTAGTTTTTTATACAAACTTCATTTTGTAAAAATTTTACGCAGGTTGCTTCTGGAATTATAAAAAGTAAAATGGCTACAGAAAGTTTGATTAACGGATCAACGTTTTGTTTATCTAAAGGAGGAAATCCGGTCAAAGTCACCAGAAAATAAATCAAAAAAAACTTTAAACTATTAAGCAGCTGTCCATCAAAATAATAAAGCTATTACAAATTGTGTTCGAACTTTCAAATAGAAAAACAAAAGAGCTGCTTTCTTCTTTACGCAAAGGTTTAGGAAATAAGCTTTCCATTGAGCCTAATATTTTTAGTTGTCTTTCTGAGTTAGAAGAATATATTTCTAATTACTACTTGAAATGTGGAAACGCACTGTTTGGTTTATCAGGACATATTCTGGGAAAAAAGCTTGTTTATGGTGTGAGGGAATATCTACATTAAATTTAGGGACAAAACAAACTCTTGGCAGTATTGATTATTGGTAATATAAATATTTAGAAAATAACTCAGTAAAATCATCCATGCAAAAGTTTATGAACTACATCGATCCTCGAATTTTGTATATTAATTTGGATCCAAATACTTTAATTGACCAACTTGTTCCTCCACCTAAACTTCATTCATTAATTGGTTTCGTTTCACTACTTGGAAATTTTTTGTTAGATGTCTGGCCGGATTTTTGATCGGCAAAAGACAAAAAAATGTTATTGAGCGAGGGTACTAAGGCAGGGGCTGGGATGGAAACAATTCGAACAAAATATTAGAAAATCTGGATTCTCTTGAAACACAAATTTTAGAAACATTTTCGAGATTTGAATTGTTCAGTGTTTGAGAGATTTTTAAAATGTAAAAAATTGTTGCTTTTCCAGCAATTTACAAACTGGCTTCAAAGAAGCAATAACAAATTTAAAGAATACATTTCTTTCCGCACAAGAAGTTGCAATAAATTTAAAGAAACAAGTAAATACAACATGGAAAGTCCACATTTTACTGTGTCATGTACAGCCATATGTGGAACACCATAACAAAGGATTGGGTAACTTTGATTTGGTAACATGGTTTAAGAGGCAAAAAGAGCATTCTGAACATGGTGACAGGCTATTATCAGCAGTAATTGATTTTGGAGCAAAAAGAATTTGATTTTGTTTATAAATTTATATATATTTATATATATATATATATATATATGTATATATATATATATATATATATATATATATATATATATATATATATATATATATATATATATATATATATATATATATATATATATATATATATATATATATATATATATATATATATATATATATATATATATATATATATATATATTATTTAAATATTATTTAAATGTGAAGAAAAACAACATAATAACAGTGCTTAAAGTTTCGTGCCTTTCGGCAATCATCAGCTAATAATTACAAATTAAAAACTTAAATTAACGTTTAAAAAACGAATCGGTAGAACGAGTTCTGACGTAATTTGAAAAGGCGCAATCATTTAATCTCCAGTATCAAACGAAGATAACAGGAATTTATTTAAATGTCGACATTTAGATAATATTTCGTCTTTTTTATCAAGCAGGTTGTTTCCATTAAAAGATAAAATTTCTAATTTCTCATGAAGACAAAGTTTGCAGGTGTTTGTTTCTGGTTTGTAAGCTTCACAGGGTTTTATAATTTTCCACTTTATAATAGGTGCTGTACCTTTTTCTTTTAAACTCTAAATTTCTTTTGAAAGTTCAGTATCATTTTTATAATTTGATCGCATTAAAAGGTTTTAAATGATTTGCGTATCTGAGCTTGAATGGTGTCTCACTGATACCAAAATATACTTTTTCCTTAGGATCTGGATCATCAGAACTCACAATCAGTGGTTTGGTAAACAATATTACTTACTAAACATTGGTTACTTAATGGACAAGCGGTTTTAGTAATACAGTTGCATGTTTTTGTAGTTATATTTCTTTTACTTTGTAAAATCTTGTGGTTGTGTGAACTAATGATGGATTTAATATTTTGCATACAGCTATAACTAACCTTGATCGAATTTCTATTGAATATTTTGCGTAGTTTGTGATTTACAGGGAAATGTAGATCAACCAATGCTAATAAACGATTTCCTATTTTTGTTTCTACATTTAGACTAAACGGAGGGTTATACCATATAATATTTCGCTTGCGATTTTTATTTTTAGGCGATGTAACTTGGGGTAGGTATGTAAGCTTACAGTTATAGCCAGCTTTTTTGAGTAAAATTTTGATTCGTTTTTTAAACGTTAATTTAAGTTTTTAATTTGTAATTAATAGCTGATGATTGCCGAAAGGCACGAAACTTTAAGTACTGTTATAATGTTGTTTTTCTTCATTTAAATAAAAGGTTTTTCCAATTTTTATTAAACAAATACTTTTAAATAAAAAACTTTTTTTTGTAACGTGCATCTAGCATACCTAAATGAGCTTATGCCCCCTTGTATTTACCCTTTTGCCCCATTTATGACCCTTAGCGGACATATATTATTTATACGTCAGATATATATTATACGTACGTCACACATATATAAATAGTCGTACAATATATATGGATTATTCTTGAGTCTTCTATGATAAGTTCTATAATAAGTTTTTTATTTTAAAAATATAAGACATATTTTTATATTTATATAATATTTTATAATCCTTTTAAAGTGGCGTAAGAAAATGGTTTAAAAAAAATTATTATTATTATTATTGTAAATTTTAACATAGTGATATGTTGTTGAGCAATAAACTTGTAAATATTCAATACAAATTGTTTTGTTTGTATACGGTATCTTATTTTTGTTAAATTTTATCGAAAGGCACATACAACCAAAATACACATTTATACAACGTTGTCACACATCAACACATAAAAGTATTAAATGCTCATATTGGTATAATCAACGACATTGTTGTTTCACCAAGTGGAAATTTTTTGTTTACAGCATCCTATGATCACACAGTACAGGTAACTATTGGTTTTGAAAGTTTATGTGTGATGAGAAAGGTTTTAAAATATATGTGTGATAAAAAAAGCTTTAAAATGTAATAATTGTTTAATTTCAGCTGTGGGATCTTGTAAAACTACTTCCTGTTCAAATACTAAGCCGTCACGAAGGAAGCGTTAATTGCATGACATTACGTGGTGATATGCTTTTCACTGGATCAGAAGACCAGGAGATTAAGGTGAAGTATATGTTTCACAAAACTATACAGTCAACTTCTGCTAGTAGTAATTAAGAAATACCTGCTAATTATTGTAATTGAGGATTTATGTTTGTTATGTAATTTTTTTTTTTTTTAGGTTTATCTTTATTATCAAGGGTTGGCCAGCAAAAATCTAATGGTTGTTTAGAATTCAACGAATAGTTGAATTCTAAACTTTTGCTATCATGCATATATATTCCATCAAATAGCGCTGCGAAGTCATTTGGGTAAATTAATTTAATTGTGGGGCACATTAAACTTACAAACTTACTTAAAATTTATAAACACCAGGAGCAGGTATAGAAGTGCAATTAATGATTATTAACAAGACCAATATTTAATTTAAACAATCGGCCGGCACGAGGTAATGATTCTGATCACAAAGATATGATAAATGTGTTTTAAATGTAATTTAAAATCTTTGATAAAATACCATCACTGCGCATTTTTGGAAAATGTTTTTGAAAATGATGTTGTTCAGTTTTAAAAGTATGAGTTTGCCTTGCAAGTTCATGTTGAATTTGCTAAAAAATATTCCTTATTTTCAAACCTTTAATTTTGATTAAATTGTATTCTATTGGAAATGCGTTGTTTACAACCTTGGCATACTGCATATTATCAAAGAGGAACTAGTGAAATTGTCATTCATATTATAAGTGCTTGTGTACTTTATCTGGATTTTGGACTGGAGTAACACCAGATTTGGACATTCCAGCCTTAAACAATTAAGCATAGTTTAAATTTTTACTTAATTTTTGAAATGTTAAAAACTTTTTTTCGTGAAACATTCATTTAAATAGTTTAAACATGCTTTTTGAAGTGAATGGTAGGTTAATAAAGCAAAATAAAAAAAGTATTTTGTTGTTGTTATTTTTTTTATTAGAGTTCCATATAAAATGATTGAGCAATTATATGTTTACCAGTTGTTTAGATCGTAATAAAAAGTAGGTAAAAATTTTTACATAAGATTCTAAATTTTGATCTTAAATATTTAATAAAAAATTTAAATACATTTAAAAAAAGAAATTTGAATGGATAAATTTTAAAAAATAAATTTTGATAGTTACTGAAATTAAATTGTATAGGGGAAGTGGGAGTATAACCGCTCCCTTAACGTTTGGATTATTATTGTATGGAAATAAAAACAAAATATGTTTTTTTTAACAGTTTATTTCCATAACCACATTATTAAGCTTTAAATTGCTGCAATTAAGAAGAAAAAAAAAAGCGATTTTCAAAAATGCTGTTACACAAAAATTACACTTGGTAAAAAAAACGGTTTTGCCCCCATTGTGAGGCACAACCGCACCCTCACAAAAATCGTTGGAGGTACGCTTTTCGCTGCACATTTTCTTTACAATTCTCACAGCTCAGATTTTTTGCTAATTTTGTTGCACGTTTGCATACTACCTAGACATTCTTTGTATACACAGTCTGAGTTTTCTCATTCGATATATACATATGTATATGTATATATATATATATATATATATATATATATATATATATATATATATATATATATATATATATATATATATATATATGCCTATACGGCAATCATCAGCCATTGAATACAAAATCAATAACAAAAAACCCGCTAAAAATTACAAAATACTGTGTAATGGGATCTTTGTGTCGCTAAGAAATGCTTGATGGCATCCAAAGAAAAGACAAAATATTAGCTAATCGCCGGTGTCAAAAAAGATAAAAGGAATTTATTTTTGCGTCTGCATTTTGAAATCAACTCATTTCGTTTATTTAATAAGTTTTCACCTTAATATGTTAAAAAAAGGAATTTTTCGAATAACCAAATGTTGCAAATTTTTGACGAGGCGTTATAAGTATTGCAACGTTTTACAATTTTCCACTTAAGGGTGTAAACAATTTGTTTGTTTTTTTTTATCTTGCTAAAAGATTTTAGGCAATTAGCATACCGAGAGTTGAATGGAGTTTCACATAAGCCAAAATATACTTTTTCTTTGTAGTCAGGTTAATTTGACGACACAGTGGCTTGATAAACGATGTTTTTTTGTCAAGCACTGATTGTTCATGGGACGTATGGATTTGTTGACACTGTTGCATGTTTTTCTCTCATCTTTATCTTGGTTATATAATATCCTGTTATTGTGCAAATTAACGATCGACTTGATATTTGGCATATATGAGTAGCTTATTTTAATGGTATTTCGATTAAATATCTTACGAAGTTTGTGACCAACCGAAAAGTGCAGGTCTACCATGTTCAAAAAACGACTGCCTATTTTTGTTGCAACATTGGTACTGAAAGGTGGGTTGTACCAGATTATATTTTGCTTGTGATTATTGAATTGGATTGGTTTTTTATTTGAATGGTAAGCGAATTTGCAGATAAAACCTGATTTAGATAAAGCATCTTGAGAAATGGATTGTTTAAAAATATTTTCGTCAGAAGAATTGGTTGACAATCTTAGTTCGATAGTTTGAGGAAGGCTTTTTAGTATACTAGGAGGGTGGTGGTTAATATACTAGGAAGCATATAAAAGTGATAACTTATTAAATAAACGAAATGAATTGATTTCAAAATGCAGACACAAGAATAAATTCTTTTTATCTTTTTTTGACCTCGGTGATTAGCTAATATTTTGTTTTTTCTTTGGTTGCCATCAAGTATGTCTTAACGACGTAAAGATCCCACAACATAGTATTAGTTTGGACGCTACGTGTAACTTTTTTCTTGGAAATGAAGTGGACATTACAAAAACTACTTAAATAGTTTAACATTAATATCTTAAAAAAGAAAAACTTTACGTGCTTTTCTGAAAGTGCTTAAAGGGTCACACGTCATTTTGACATTTTTTCAAAAAATCAAATTAAATAAAACATATTTTCGTCAAAAGTTAGATAAACTCTTGAGAAAACCTTATAATAAATAACAAAATATTAAAAAACACTTACGTGTCTTTCTGAAAGTGCTTAAAGAGTCAAATTTGGGGCGTTATTTGGTACTGATAACGTCACGCTGGTCTACTTTTTTTTATCAAACTAAAAAATATATATTTACGTTAGATAATCTCTTGAGAAAACCTTATAATAAAAAAGAAAATCTTTAGAAAAACTTAAGAGCAATTCTAATAGTCCTTAAAGGGTCAAATTCGGGCCCTTGTTTGGTACTGATGACGCCACGCTAATAATTTTTTCAAATTTCGCCAAAAAAAAAATTTAGTTAAGAGATTTTTAAAAGGGAAAATTCGAATCAGTTGAATAATATTTTGTTTAGGTGTCGTCCCAATCATTTGTGTTTTCACAAGACGAACAATTGCGTACAAGTCAATCCATGCAATCAACCCGGGTTTCACATTTTGACTTTTTACACGAACAGGAATTCTCTGCAAAACATCTTCTGGAGCAAGTCTAATGAGCATCAATTTCACCGCGAACATTCACCGCGAACGGACGTGTTTTTTTTTTTTTATTACTAGTTATCAAAAAAATTTCAAAATGGCTACTAAAAATTTTACATCTGCACAATTGAAAGATATTTTGGAAATTCATGAAAATACTATTATGAAGATGTTTAATGATAGAATTGAAAAGCTTGAAAACAAATTAAACTCAGTAATTGACGAGAATAAGGAACTAAAAAAGGAATTAGGCGAACTTAATAAAGCTGTTGAATTTGTAAGTAATAATTATGATAAAATAGTTGCTGATCATCAAACATCAAAAACATCATTGATAAATGAATATGCAAATTCTAACATGATTAACAAATTGGCTGAACTTGAAGACAGAAGTCGACGCAACAACTTAAGATTCTGTAGGATTGAAGAAGTTGAAAATGAAAGCTGGGAGGACAGTGAAAATAAAGTAAGAGAATTTTTAAATAATAAACTTCAGCTACACGGAAAATTTGAAATTGAAAGAGCACATCGAGTCGGAAAGAAACTACCTGAAAACAATAAAAAAAACAGATCGATCGTAGTCAGATTTACAAAGACAAAGCCACGATATTAAGAAAATACACGACGATGAAATTGTGGACTCAAAAGGTTTACATAAATGAAGATTATAGTGATCATACGATGGAATTGCGAAAAAAACTCCTGAATGAGGCAAAAGATTTAAGGGCAAAGGGTAAGTACGCTAAAGTTATATATAATAAATTAATCACACGGGATTTATAAAAGAAATTCTTTGATCTTATTTCGATTATGAAAAAAACAAAAATAAAATGGATTCTAACGAAACCTTAAATTTTGAGTCTAGTTTTTATAATTTTTTTTCAAACAAATGATTTCTTATTAGATGATAAATCTGATCCTGATCTTAATTATTTTTCTAATTCTGGTGCTTTGCAAAATAAATGCAACTACTTTTATACCCATGAAATTAAAGGATTTCTTGATCAAAATAATATTAACACAATTCACATTAATATCCGCAGTTTAAAAAAAAATTTTGAAATCTTTCGTAGAAGAAACTTGTAATCTATTTAATATAATTTGCTTAACAGAAACATGGTGCAGTTCGGATGACGTAAATTTTTTTACCAATTTTGAACTGCCGGGTTTTAATGTAATTTCATTAGCACGAAAAACAAATAAGCGTGGCGGAGGCGTTCTTATTTATGTTAAAAATAACTTACGATATTTTACCCGGCATGACATGAGCATCTCTGATGCTGATAAAGAGGTTTTAACGATTGAAATTTTAACCAATAAAATAAAAAATAAAATTCTAAGTTGTTGTTATCGCCCACCTTCAGGTGAAATTAAAAATTTTAATTCGTTTTTATGTAATGACGTTATTAAAAAAAGTAACCACGAAAATAAATTTATCTACTTAGTGGGTGATCTGAATTTAGATTGTTTTCAATACCACGTCAATAATAACATTAAAAGGTTTCATAATGGCATTTTTGAAAATGGTGCGATTCCCTTAATTAGCAAACCGACAAGAATTACTCAATCAAGTACCTCTTTAATTAACCACTGATGTTTTTAACGAATCCTTAAAAAAGGGCATAATTAAAAATGACATATCTGATCATTTTCCTATTTTCTTTTCTCTAAATATAGATAATAAATTAGTTCCTAATGAAAAACGAGTTTTCAAAAAGCGATTTTTTACAAATGAAAACCTTAAATCTTTTAAGGAACAATTATCTCTAATTGATTGGAGCATTATTAACACCTCTGATGATATAAACTTAGTTTATAACTCCTTTTTTAAATCTTTCTATGATATTTATGAAACTAATTTCCCTGAAGTTAATTTAAATCTCAAAGCTAAAAGTATTAAATCGCCTTGGATTACAAAGGGTTTGCGGAAGTCTTCAAAAATTAAACAAAAATTATACATTAATTACTTGAAATCTAAAACAAATGAAAATAAAATTATATATAAAAATTACGCTAAACTTTTTGAAAGCCTCAAGAAAAAACAAAAAAAAAAATTATTATTTAAATTTACTAAATATATATAAATTAAATTTTAAACGCACTTGATTTATAATAAGAAAAATTACTGGCAGCAAAAAATGTACATCTCACTCTTTGCCAAACACGGTTAAACATAATAATGAATTTTTATATGATAAAAGACAAATTACGGAAGAATTTAATAAATATTTTGTGTTTGTAGGACCAAATCTGGCAAAAAGAATTCCAATAGCTAACAGTTTAATGAATGATCTATGTTTCCCTCTAAACTCTTACTTGAACTCTTTTGAATTATCTTTTGAAGAGTTTGAAAATGCCTTTAAAATGTTAAAATCTAACAAAGCAGTAGGCCCTGATGGTATAAATGGCAACATTATTATAAGTTCATTTGATGTTTTAAAAGATATACTCTTTAAAATTTTTTCAATATCAATTAAACAGGGAATTTTTCCACATGCTCTAAAATTAGCAAAAGTCATACCAATATTAAAAAGTGGTGACATTGAGAATATAAGTAACTATCGTCCAATTTCACTCCTTTCTGTATTCTCTAAAGTTTTAGAAAGAATTTTGTACAATAAAATTTATAGTCATCTTACTTTAAACAATTTATTATACAGCAATCAATATGGATTCCAAAAAAACAATTCTACTGAACATGTCATTCTACAATTTACAAGAAATATATCTGACTCATTTGAAAATTCTCAATTTACTTTAGGTGTTTTCATTGACTTGGCGAAAGCTTTTGATACTATAGATCACGAAATTCTTTTTAAAAAGTTGGAGTGGTACGGAATTACTGGAAAAATATTAATTTGGCTAAAAAGTTACCTAAATAATCGAAAACAATTTGTTTATGCGAATGATAACGTATCATCTAGTTTGTTAAATATTTCATGTGGAGTTCCTCAAGGATCCATATTAGGACCTCTCCTATTTTTAATATATATTAATGATCTACCAAAAGCTTCTAACCTAATGACAATTATGTTTGCTGATGATACTAACCTATTTCTTTCTCATAATAACATTTTTACACTTTTTAGCAATATGAACATTGAACTAGTCAAAATTTCCGAATGGTTTAGATTAAACAAACATCACTAAATATTGATAAAACTAAATGGATTCTTTTTCATCCTTATGGTAAAAAGCACCAGCTGCCTAGCAACTTACCTTTTCTATTTATCGATAACATAGTTATTAATAGAGTTTTAGTGACAAGATTTTTAGGTGTATATATCGATGAAAATCTTACATGGAAATGCCACATTGCTAACTTGTGCAGTAAAATTTCAAAGAGTATAGGCATTTTATACAAAATAAGAAACGTTCTTGATAAAAATACCTTAATTCAATTATATTATTCGTTAATTCATTGCCATTTCAACTATGCAAACATTGCTTGGGGTAGCACTTATAAAAGTAAACTTAAACCTCTCTATCGGCAACAGAAGCATGTAGCACGCCTTATAAATTTCAAGGACCGTTTTGCTCACGCCAAGCCTCTTTTATATGATATGAAAGCACTCAATATATATGATTTAAATGTTTTTAATATTCTTTGTTTTATGTATAAATGCAAGACCAACCTATCACCCGTTTCTTTTCGTAACTTGTATTTACAAAGAGATAGAAATAAATATATTCTAAGGAACGATAACTTAATTCGACAACCATTTTCTCAAACTAATTTTGGAAAATTTTTTATTTCATTTCGCGGACCATTTTTATGGAATAGTATAGTTCTAAATACTTCTAAAGATTTTTCTCAAGAATGTAATTTTGATTCTTTTAAAGAAAATCTTAAAAAACTCATTTTTTCAACTGAAAATATACTAATCTACTTTTAAATTTTTGAAAATCACTTGTCTGTATTAGTATATGAATATATTTAATGTACATTCTTTTTTATTTATTTATTTTTTTTATCAACAAGCAATTATTTAACATGTTTTATTTTAGTGAATTATTTAACATGTTTTAGTTTTTAAGTTTTAGAACTCTTCTATTGTAATATTGTATGTTTATTTATAATATTATATTACGAACTTTATATACTTTTATTAATAAATTTAATTTTGTAATAAAAAGAAACTGAACAAAAATAAATAAATATAAAGAACAAACAAAAAAAAAAAAAAAAAAAAAAAAAAAAATTTAACATCAAGTTGATTGCCAATTTCTCGCCATCTATATCGCCATCTATATGGAATATTAAGATTTGCCTCCACTGATTGTTTGACAATTGCTGTTTGATACAAAACTCTCTTGCAATGACACATAAGAGCATCCCTAGTTGGCAGAAACTTTTATGGTTTCGTAGCTTCTTTCTTAGCAATAAACTTAAGGTATCTTCCTTCGTTCGTATCACTGCATTATAATTTTTATAACTGACATATAAACTTTTCGATTTGGTCAAAATGGATTACATCAGAGGTATAAGAGTATTCCCTAACCTTGAAAAAATTGACTTGTACTCTTCAGACTGTCTCATTAGTTTGAGGAACTTTGACTTACCAATCCCGTAAAATGCACTTGTATAATTGTTCCGCTAAATGCATGAAGAGCAAGAAGAGCTTTACAACAATCAGTACCTAATTGTGAGGCAGTAAGATTTATATCAAGAGTCCGTTTTTCAGTAGAGACGCCAATATCCACAAATAATTCTATTTGAAGTTGGTTTTGAAAGTAAAAAGCGTAAATAGCAACACCTATGTCAACCGTGTGAATGCAAACGATTTCGAAACCAATTGATGCATTATATATAGGCAGTTTAAAGTATGTTTTTTTAAAGACAAAACCTCGCTGCGAATCTTTTGAGCGACATAATGGATAAGCTGTTCAATCGGTTTTGGATTATTCTTTTTTTCTAAATTCTCAATCTTTTTTAAAAAAACTTCAACGATTTTCCCCTTCTCAATAGTATTGTTGCATAAGAAAGAATATCCTATTTTGGTGACCGCAACTGAACAGACCCGCAAGTTATGCAACTACAGCATCCTGCAAAGTCCTTTTATCTAGAATCTTTGCTCTATCTGTGTAGTTTTCCTCCTAAAATTCAAATAGCTTACTTGTATGAGTAATCTTTAAATTGTCTAATATGTGTTCTGTCACATAGTCAAAGAGTATTCTTTGCTTCGCATTTCAAACTCAAAGGTTTTTTAATTTACCTGATCTCTTTTCAGAGCTGAGATTCTGCGCTTAAATGAGGATGCATTATCCATGCCAACACTCTCGTTGACTTGTTATAAAATGTTTAATGTTTTTATATTCACATACTTACTTATTCACATACTTTGATGAAATAAGAAAGTTGTTGGGCACGTATCATCAGGTCCGTATCCAGCATTATTTGGTCTTCGAGATTTTTGACCATATAAAGTTTAAACCCCCCTCAAAATTGAGGGGGTTGCAAATTTTATATTGTTATAATTTTTGAACGCTGAAATATTTTACTATGAAATTTAAAATTTATCGATAAATATAAGTCTAGTTAGAGATAGTACAAAATTATTTCATCAACTTGTTGCTCTCGCGTTCGGGGCAGGGGAAGCACAAATTTTGGGACTATTTTGTTTTCAAGCTCCAATCATTGCAATTTTTTGCAAAGCATCCTTATTTGACATAAGTATAAACATATAAATGTTTGAAGTTTGCTCCATGTCTAGAAGTTAGATATCTCGAAAGCCAAAAAATGCTGGATACGGACCTGAATTTTAGGTAGAATGTTTATGATTTTAAAGTCATTTCGAATTTGACGATAGTAAAAAAATTACTATTATCAAATTTACGCTATTTATTGTTTTTTCCGTACCATTGTTTAAGGCATATATAAAGAAATAAGTTGATTTGTACATTTAGTTTGTGACTTACCAAGCATTGTAAGTCACAATGCTTGGTTTGTAAGTTACAATGCACAGGTCTTCACTTTCACAGGTCTTCACATTGTAAGTCACAATGCACAGGTCTTCACTTTCGCAAGCGCATTTTCAGTAAAACCACACAGCTTGTTATTATTACGACAACTTCACCTTGATGAAGTATACAAGCATTTTTAATTTTTTTATTAGAAACCAGATTAAAATGATGCATTTTTTGGCTACTCGCCATTATTTAGTTTAATAATAATAACTAAATAAGAATAAAACACGTTTTTTTAGTTTTATGTTTTATATATTTGCAACAACCGTTTCTTTTAAAATGATTACCGTCATAAATAAAATGAATTTTATTTATGACGGTAATTCTTTGCTTTATTTTTTTTTTTTTTTTTTTGTATTTTAATTTTACAACTTTGTGATTTAATAAATATTCGTTAACAATGTATATATATATATATATATACACTCTTAAAAAAGTTCCGGTAAATTATACGAACTTTCAGGCATTTTGACTGAACTAGTTTGCTTCAAAAAGTGCCAGACGAATATTCAGGCAAATTACCTGAACCTGAGCTATTTGCTTAAAAAACCTGAACGACCGCGATAGGTAACCTGAACTATAGTTCAGGAAAAGTTCCGGTAAATTATAAGATCTTCAGGCGTTTTGCCTGAACTAGTTTGCTTCAAAAGGTGCCAGACGAACATTCTGGTAATTCACCTGAACCTGAACTGTTTATTATAAAAACCTGAACATCCGCGATAGGTAACCTGAAATAGTTTTAAAAAATATTAAACATGTTAGAAAGATGAATCAGAAATGAGAAAATTTTAATGAGAAAATTCTCGGAGATTTAATATTTATATAGACTTCTTTGTTTGAAAAAATTCATTTCTTTTATATGATCTAAAGGTGTAAAAATGTTTAAAAATATTTTAAGATAATCAAAATATACTTTTTTTTCCCAAGTTTTTTGTAGTAACGAAAGTACCAATTTTAAAAGAATGCTCAAGTTTATTCAAATTTTTGTATTCACATTTTTGTAATAACTTTAATATAATTACAAATATTATTACAATTAGAATTTACATGTCAGATATATTTACAGGAATAAATGAAAAGTTAAGCTATTAAAACTTTTATAAGAACTCCATTTTTTTAAGCTAAGTTTTAATTATTAAACATAATGATTAAATCACGACATAAAACATAAGCTGAAACATAAGTGTTTGTTTAAATGAAAATACTTCCAGTCTAAAAGTAAATACTTTGAGTAAGATAAAATAAACATTTCCAAACAATTATAAGTAACTGTTATACTAGGTAACTGTTATTTTATTGTTTATACCAATATGGCTAACTAGCCGTATTGGTACACTTAGCCACATATATGTACACATCACAAATTCAATATAAATTACAAAATAAAAAATATAGTGGTATCCATTAAAATAAAAACATTTAAAAGTTTATCCATTTCTTAATTTTTCATTAACAAACAATGACAGATCACTGCCACCTCTTGACAACGGCAAATCGTCATTAATATCCATAACTACACGTTGTAAAAAATGTAAAACATGTCCACATTCTGGCGCATATTCAATATCGATAACGAAGTATAGTTTCAGTAAACGGTCTACTGCACTTAACATGGCATTTCTAATTGGAACAACATTGTCTTCTATAAAAATAAATGACTGAATCAAGTTGCCTCAAGCCCCTAGTGTAATAACAAATAGATGCATGAAAGAAGTGTGTCTATTTGCATCAATTATAGTTTCCATAGGTGTAGTGTCCTTTGTAAAAATAAAAATAATTAAGATACAATATAGAAGCGAAATTACTATTCACTTAGGTTATAGTACATACTGTTAGAAAAATTAAACTTAAAAAAAAAAACTTACAGGAAAGATTTGAATAAAGTGAGCTGCAACTTCAGCTGTAGACGGTTGATCCTTATTTCTAGGAGGCACTTGAAGAATGTACGGAAGCAAGTAAAGTGCAAATTCCATATTTCGATCTTTGATTTTCAAAAACATTTAAAATTCAAAAAGTACATATTTCAGAATAAAGAAAATAGTTTTAGTTCGTGAAAGCTATAAAATATAAAAACAGTAATTAAAGAAGACGATGTGACATACCATTTGAAGGTATTAGCTGGCTGTCAAGCTCTAAAAGTAGCTGCTTTACCATTGGATTCACCTTTCTGCGAGCCCAAGTAATAACATGAGGAGCCATATCCTCCCATTGCATAAGCAAATCTTGAGCACTTTCAAATGTTGCTGTAAACTCTCTCTGAAACTAATATAATAATAATTAAGAGTCATTAAATGTTTCTCAAACAAAAAATCAATTTTACTCCAAAAGCAGTAATCCAAGACATTAGGATATACATACAAAAGTAAAAAACAGTGCTGCTTACATCAAATCCTAAATCTTTAAATGAAGGAAATTTCCGAATAAACTGATGAAAAGGCGGTTTTGATGACTTAATCCAGTTTCTTCATGATACTCTAGTTTTTTCAAGAATAAATTGTTTTCGATCATACTGAATGTCAACAAATGACAACTCACTTATAATGTTTCGTTCTTCATTTGAAAAAGGAACTGAAAAAAATAGTTAAGCATCATTTGTTGTATATATAAGCATGACTTACAGTTTTATTAGGCTTACCTGCAACATCAAAAGTTGTTGGGGAAATGGATTTTCGTTTACGAGTAGCTTGAGCATGGACACCGTCAAACTTCCTTATTGTTTTCAGCCGCTCCTTAATATGTCCATGAGGTGTTATTTTCTTTTTTTTGCCATTTACTTCAACTTCCTTATAAGCGCAATAGTAATTTTCCTAAATATCCAAGTTTGGATAATGTAGTTTAAACAGCAAAAAATCTTATTACATTTAGATAACAAAGTTAAACAACATACATATCCTAGAGGTCCACCAGAGTGTAGTTTAGGAAAAGCATTTATGATTGACATTGCAAGATTTGTTTTTGCTGCTCTTAATGGATACCTAAAGTAAATACCTAATAAATTAATAACCACATAATCTAAAAAATGTTACAGATTTTAGTAAAACAGATAGATTTTTTACCTGGTTACCATTGATGGTTACCATGATTCACCAACTTAACTATGCATAAAAATATTTAGAAATAAAAGGATATTCAGAACGAACTGTAAAATCACATAAAATGACTTACATGTTTCCAACTTTATTCACCATAATGTTAACAAGAATATGAACCATTTCAAATCTGTACTTAAGTAACATTCCCGTTGTCTCATATTCAACAATGACAAGTTTACCTGTCTGATGCTTATCAAGCAATTTACGAACATCCTAAAAAAGGAGAACTTTTTTGAAAATACTTTTAGAAACTAAAATCCATATAGTTTTAAAAACAGTTATATTAAAAAATTACAAATTTGACATCGTCTGTTCGAAGTACTGGACACGGAGTATGAAAAACATTTCTATCACATGAATATGTTGAATCTGAAAAGGGATTGGAATTTGATACAGAGCTAGTCTGATTAAATGAAACATGATTATTTGCAATTGTGAAATCAGTTTGTGAACAATCTTTCTGCACATAATCTGTGGATTATTCGCAATTTATTTTCAAACGACGCACTGCATTAAGAGGTTTGTAATCTATTATGTCACATATTCTTATACATAGTTTTTGGTTATCAAGTGAACAACAGTAAGATAAAGATAGATTGCAGTATTTGTGGACAACCCACTTTGTAGTGAAAAAATACACAACTTCACTATGAACAAAAACCTGGTCAATGTGAACAAAACTTGGTTCACCATCACTATTAAAATCATAAAGAACTGTTTCACATGATCTGTATTTCTGACCCAATTCGGTAACACAATCAACAGCTAAAACTTCACTTTCTTCACCAATAAAAGGAATAATAAGATTTTTGCCCTCTAATTCTGAAACTAAAAATACTTCACCATTTTTTACATCAGCAATGGTTTTTAGGGGACCATGAGTCATCCAAGCTAAGGCATGAGCAATTTGATGTCTCTTTGCAATTGAAAAAGAAATGTTCTGAAAATTGCAAACAATATGAGCTAATCTTTTTGAAAAATTATGCTTAGCTTCAAACCTTATAACAATCATGTGAAGAAGAGGTCCACTTCGTTGTATAATAGTTCCATAATGAATCATTCTGTGATGCTTATAAAGAAGTGTTTTCTCAGGATAACATTCTTTCATCAATGAATGATGTTCCATTACTAGTTCCTCGATATATGTGATTTGTAAAGAATTTAAATTAGGAGATAAAATTACATCACACAAATGTTTTAAGATTTGGTAAAGTTTCCACTTTTGTGGATCTACTTTATCAATAACATCAGACAAAATAAGTGGCAAATACATAAACAGTGTAAGCATCTGAGCAGAGTGTTGACCTAGTAAAGAGTCAGTACTTTTCATATGTGACTCATTAATAGTACAGGTTTTGAGCTGCAGACAATACCATAATCCATAAACTTTAACTTCACACGGAATAACTCCTTTAAAAATATCATGCATTATGTCTGCAGAATCATTTGAAGCAGGATGATAATAAGGCAATTCAGTTAAACAACTTAACCGTTTAACTCCACAATTCTTATTAGAAATTTCCCCTCGTTGCATCTGCTGAACTTGAGAGTTGTATAAAAAATCTGTTCTTAGAGCTTGTTTGTCTTCTTTAAAGACATGTTGGATGTCAACTTTTGATATCATACACATGTCACATGGAAATGAAACAGTACTGAAATTTTCCATATATCCTAGCATAGAGTGCAGGCCTAAATTGTCTCCAACAACTTGGGTTAGAAAACATCTAAAGTTAGTTTTTTTGCCTTCAATATAAATATCAAATCCTTTGTTGTGAAGTTTTTGCAATTCATTTACAATCACTTTTATGACTGGCTCTGCTGAATATTTCTTTATGTCTATTGCGTGAGTTAATACTAACATATGAATGTTGTTCAAGGATGAGTTTGCTGCATGAGGAAAGTTTTTTATCGCAAAATAAAAGGCACCAAGTTTATGAATGCCTGTTTTTGATCCAAGAGGATTTGCAGTCTCTACTTCATCGAAGTATATTTGAATAAACAAAGGGAAACTTTTATGAAATTTAAATTTGGCATATGCCTTTAACTTTTTACCATTTTTACCACAAAACCAATCTTTGACAAATTTAAAATTAGATATTTGCTCCACTTTTAACATATACATGGTGTCAGGGTGTAACAACACAAGCTTTATTGTGCTTTCAATAGATATGTAATAAAACAAATCTTTTACTTTGACTTGTATTTGCTTTTTAGTCTTTCTGTCACGTTTTGTATCCCATTGTTCACCCATTTAATGTGGTACTGGTTCAACGTACCGGCCTTCATTTTTCAAATATGATAATATTCGATGTTGTGAGTTAATCCCACTAAAAGGTGTTTTCCATCTGTTAAACTCTTCTGTTAAGTTGTCTATTAAATGCTTCTCACACCTACATGTTTCCAATACTGAAACTGTTTTACCTAGTAAATAACTAAGTATGTCTTCAATAAGGTTTTGTGAACAGTTCTTAACAAACTCTGAAGTACTTAAAGGAATAGAACTGGAAGACATTAAAGCCATAATAAATTTTAATGCTGCTTGTCACAAGCAGCATTAAAATTTATTTGTTTAATTCTGAAGCTAAAAGTAATATTAAAATAAGCAAAGGATGTGAAAAAAAAAATTGAAGATGTTGCCTCACCTATTGTTGATGAATATGGCATATCACAAGCCTTGTGATATGCCATATTCATCAACAATAGGTGAGGCAACATCTTCAATTTTTTTTTTTCACATCCTTTGCTTATTTTAATATTACTTTTAGCTTCAGAATTAGGTGTTACTGGAATTTCACAACTTATGTTAAATGTTCGATCAATATTAACTACAAAACCGGTATAATCTTTATTTATATGTTTTCTTAGCATATTATATGTAGTAAACAATCGTATACAACCGCCGACATTACATCGAAGTTGACAAGGCTCAAATAAAAGATGAACATTCCTCAAGTGATTAATGTAAAAAGAAACAGTTGAAAAATCTTCGGGGCAAAGGTAACAACACATTGACATCTTTAAAAAAAAAGTACATAATAATATTAGTTCACCTTTTCTGCTGCAATGACAGACTGAAGCTTTATAGCTTGACCCATTTTTATTCCAATACAATGAAACAAAACAGAGTTCATTTGCACAAATGCATCTCCGTCAATATCTTCACCTTTAAAAAGTAAGATTACGAAAGATAACATTTTCAAAATTATTTCAACTAATTAAATTTGTTTTATACATTAATGTTTAAAACTAATTTTATATGTAGTAAATACTTACTCGACAATTTAGCAATTGCTTCCACAGAAATTCCTTTTGAAATTAAATGATTAACTAACTCTTGAGTGTTTAAATTTTTTAACATTACCGAGCACATTCTTTTAAAACGCGAAAAATTAAGATTAAAAGTTCAGGTTCGTGCGTTTTGTCTAAAGTTCAGGACTAATTTATATCAACAGTAACTGTTGATTTAAAATAATCCTGAACTGTTCAGGAAAAAGGTATCATAAGAACGCAACGATCGAACTTTCAGTTGTTTCATAGTCATATTTAACTAGTCTGGAAACGCGGGCCGTTTTCTATATATTTCGTAAAATAACTTGAGCTTTAAGGGGTGACCGGACCCCGGTAACATTTGATGCACTCTCAGTGCATCAAATGTTTTTAAAATGACTTTTTGTAGCGCAGACTTTGAAAATTTGAATGAATTCGATGCTGTTTTAGTTGCTATTGAGTTGTTATTTGTTGAAGGCAGATCTCAATTTTAGTTCAAACATTAGACTACCTATTTTAATTTATCCTAACCAAAGTGAAGAAAGAATATTTATGTGTTTGTTTTGCAAGAAACGATGTTTATCACACGGTGACTCGTCACTTCAACGCCAAGCACAAGGACAAGATTATTGATAAACATTTAGTAAAGAATAAAAGAAAGCAAAGATTATTCTTCAACCTATAATATTTTATAATTATTTAATCAAGATTGCAGTAAAGCTTGCTTCAGATAAATGGTACTTTGCTACAAGCTGACATTAAAAGTTTAAAATCAAGTATTATATTTCAATTATTTCAAGAAGAAGTCATTACAGCTTAGTTCCTATTAAAATGTAACTGCTTCATTTGTTTGAAATGCTGAAATTTTTTACCACTGATTAAAACATGAAAGAACATGAAGTAGCATTCAAAACATGAATGCTTTCAAAACATGAAAGAAATTATTTTTTTCAGAAAATATTTTGTAGAATCGATTCTACAAAACTGTTTCTGAAAAAACAATTTCTTTTATGCTTTGAAGTAGCAAATCTTGTCTTTGTTTATTTGACTGGCACCTTTTTTATCAATGATATTATAACATTTAAGCATGTATTCCTCTACATTACTAAACAAAACATTCTATTATGACTTAGTGGGAATGTTTTTGGTGCCTCTAATTTTACAATTGGTTTTAATTCTAACATGTCTAAGTTGTATAATGAGCAGTGTTTATCGTATTTGCTTGCAGCTAAGTATGCATGATCATCTAACATTTTACATACAAGTTTGTAGATTGTACATTGCAAAATATAACCTGAAAGCTTTCAAAATTCAAAAAAGTCAAACTAAATTGATATATAAAGAACATCAATTAAAAAACACCCTCTATTTTTGGAATAATTTGGAATATTTTGGAACAAAAACATTAAAGAAAAAGTGAGATGAACCTACTAAAACGGCTATTTTCATAGCCACATATTTTTTTTAAATATTATTGGTATATAATTAGCTCCTAGATTAGTACAATAAATGCTTCATGTATATTTAATAGTTTTATGGTGTAGTAACTTTGTAATAAAACAACAATAAAAGATTGAGTAATAAAAATAATATAATTGTCTTTTTAATTTTAAAATAATAATGACAACACTACTATTTTACATATCTAAAAAATATTTAGTTTTGAACAAATCTAATAACTTCTTTTTTTTTTTTTGGCATGACTAAATACTACATTACTACCACTCTATAATACCCGTGTAGGTAAATACATTACATTTCCAGCTACTAAAAATATTTTTTATTTTGTTATTATTGAAAGTTATTAAATGATAGGTTACCCTTGCAAGCACTAAGTGATTGTTAGTGTCGGAAATAATCTTCAGACAAGCTTTTCCATAATGTAATAAAATTTTTAATACAGCAAAAACTTATTACTTAGGCAGCAAAATTAACACTTTTTAATAAATATTTTGTCAACTTTATATGCTCAAAAGTAAGTTTAGGTAAAATACAAAGGCCACATTCTCTGTCTTCATGGTTCCACTGTATAAACTTACCATCCTTACATATATCTCTTTTTTCCATATGTTTTAAGTTGGATAAGTCATATTTAATTAAGACAGTAACAAGTTGTCTTATTTTAATGTGGTGGATTAGGCATAAACGAATCATTTAAAATGCCTATTCAACAACTTGCGATTTGCACAAACATCGCAAGTTACAAGCAACAACTTTAAAGAAAATTAGTTTGCAAATTTTGATTGCTTTCTAAAGCAAAAGAAACATTTGTCATGCAGTGGCACTAGTTGTAAAAGTCAAGTATATCATCTAGATTAGTCAAGTTTATCATAATACACTGCAGCTGACTTTAAAACTAGATAATTAACATGAAATATCTTATTTTAGTTGAAGATAACCTTAGATTTTGAGATATTATTTTTCTGCATTCAACAAAATAGATATTAAACTATAGCTTAAAATTAAGATTTGAAATAAAATTTTGTAACTTAATTTGATACACTGTGATTTTTAAATAGAATTCTGTAATCTTCTCTAATACACTGTACTTTTTTTATAATTAAATTAAATTTGATTTATGTATGATAGTGATGCAATATTTGGTAGCAAACTTTTGCATCATCTTTATTGTATCAAGTATATTTTTTTAGTTGCTATTTGCAATAAAGCATAAATTGCAATACAGCATAATAAAAATAAAAATTTATAAACAAGCTATTTTTAAAGTATTTATTAAAATCCTAATCTTTTCTACTGATTAAGTTTTTCACTTGTTAATAAAAATAGAAAAATATTTTTCACACAACATTTATTGTTAGTATAGCACTTGTAAAAAAGGTAGAAGTTCTACCGTAGAGTAGAATATGTGATATGCACATGGTAAGGTTAAGTCTTCTACCTTCCAAAATAAAAAATTTTATCTTTAAAGGTAAAAATTTTTTCCTTGTAAGATAGAAAATTAAACAAATCATTATTTTTAATATAATTTAGGTAATAATTAAAATATAATTTTCTCTCTAAGGTAGATAAATATGCTGTGTTAAGGGTATAACACATATCTTAAAAGATACCAACATTATCTAATTTAGCTTTGAAACCATTCAAAATGATAAAATTGTACCTGATTTTTTCTTGTTTCCAGAAAAAATACCAACATAGTGTAAAGAGTGATATATAAATTATCAACTAATCCAGCTAAGTAAACTATATATAGAATATAGAGTTTATTAAGCTCTATTAGCTAACATTTTAAATAAATATACTCTGAATATAATACAAAGCATTTATACCCATATACATCCATCAAGTTATACAATCGATGAAATGTTTACATCTCTAACATATTTTCATATAGTATATAATTTTAATGTTGATATGATATAAGCTATATGGTTGAATAAGCATATTAATACCACTACAAACTCTGTCACATAACTACATTTATCAACAGTTGATGTCTTTAATTTATTCTATATTCATCATTTTTATTCGGAATACGAAATATATATGCAATCCAAAATTTTAACTTGAAACTGAATAACCAAAAAAATTACAATTTGTTCATCCATTTCAATATTTATCCCAGAATATATGTAACTTATCTATAGCGAAATACAATGTTTACAATTTGATGCACTCTGAAGTAGGCTGAGCACTAGTTTAGAGAGGAACTTAAGTGTTTTAAGAAAACGGCCCGCGTTTCCAGACTAGTTAAATACTATGACTATGGTTGTTTCGCCTGAAGTTTCAGGCGTTAAAAATAGCCTGAACAGTTCAAGCAAATTTTACCGGAACTTTTTTAAGAGTGTACATGATCGTTATTAAGAAATAAAAGAACGCGGGAACTCGTAGAAGACCGTAAGGTCTTGTCGTCGAGAACCGCTAAAAAATTTTCGTGTTAATATTTGGTATTAATAAAATATTCTCAAAATAAATAAACTTTCAATAGGAATATATACTTAACATACTTGAAGATAACAAATAATTAAGAATTAAGAATTGAAAACATAAACAAATTTAAAGAAAAAAAGAAAAAGAAAAACAGTTCCGTTATAAATACATAGATGCGTTATACAGTTTTAAGATATCTTTAGCACAATTGTTAAACTTTTTGTTAAAGGTTTTGTTATACAGTTTTAAGATACCTTTAACAAAAGTGTTAAACAACTATTTACAAATTGTTAAATTATAAAATTTATTAATGCAGTGTTAAATATAAAGTTAAAAAAAGAAACAAAAAATTAAAAGAATATAGATATATCATCTAATAAAAAAATGACTTTTTTAAGTTTTTGTTTGAAAGAGTGATAGCTAACTTCTTGAGAAAAGTCAAAATTCTTTAAAACTATTTTATTCCAAAGTAATGCTCCTCGAAATGAAATACAGTATTTTCCAGAATTAGTTTGATAAGCTGATTGACGAATATTATTATCATTTCGTAAAATGTACTTAGTTTTTTCTTTTTTGTTAAAACATATAACGTTAAAAATATTAGGCTCATATATATTTAAGACTTTCATTTCAATTAATAGAGGCTTGGCATGAGTAAATCGATCCTTAAAAAAATAAGGCGTGCAACATGTTTCTGTTGACGATAAAGAGGTTCCAGTTTACTTTTATTAGTACTACCTCACGCAATGTTCGCATAGTTAATGTGACAATGAATGAGCGAATAATATAGTTTAAGTAATGTATGTTTATTTAAAAAACACCTTGATTTGTACAAAATTCCTATGTTTTTTGATATTTTACTACTCAAATTTTTTATGTGACTTTTCCATGACAAATTTTCATCAATATAAATACCAAGAAAGTTTGTAACTGTTATTTTTTTAGAAGTATATTATCAATAAAAAGCAGTGGCATTTCATTTGGTATAAGATTTTTTTTGTGATTTAGATGGGAAAAAATCCATTTCGTTTTATCAATATTAAGAGACAGTTTATTTGTCTTAAACCGATCAGAAATTCTTACTAGTTCATTATTGATATTCTGAAATAACAATGTAATATCATTATGAGATAAAAATAAGTTCGTGTCATCTGCAAACATAATCGTCATTAAATTTGAGGCTTTATGGAGATCGTTGATGTAAATAAGAAAAAGAAGAGGCCCTAATATTGATCCCTGAGGAACACCACAGGTTATATCAAGCAAGTTTACTGGTGAAACTACATCAACGTATACATATTGCTTTCGATTATTTAAATAGCTTTTTAACCAATTTAAAACACTTCCGTTTATACCGTAAATCTTTAGTTTATTTAAAAGAATATTGTGGTCTATTGTATCGAAAGCTTTAGCTAAGTCAATAAAAACCCCAACTGTATATTGGGAGTTTTCAAAAGAGTTAGTAATACTTCTTGTAAACTGGAGAACTGCGTGTTCTGTCGAGTTATTTTTTTTGAATCCATATTGATTGCTATATATTAAATTGTTTACAGATAAATGATTATAAATTCTGTTGTATAAAATTCTCTCCAAGACTTTTGAAAATGCAGATAGAATAGAAATGGGACGATAGTTGCTAACATTAGTTAAATCACCTCCCTTAAATATCGGAATCACCTTTGCTATTTTTAGTTGGTTAGGAAAAATTCCTTGCCTAATAGAACAAGAAAAAATCTTAAAAAGTACATCTTTAATGATTTCATATGATTTACTAACAATATTTACATTGATATCATCCGCACCTGCTGATTTGTTGGGTTTTAGCATTTTAAAAGCGCATTCAAACTCTTCAAAAGTTAGTTCAAACGAATTAAATTGCGATGTATTAGAGATAAATAGATTACTTATTGGATTTATTGCTTGAGGAATTTTTTGGGATTAATTTGGTCCAACAGAAACAAAATATTTATTCAGCTCGTTAGCTATCTCTTCTTTATCATACAAAAATTTATCATTTGATTTGATGGTTTTAGGCAATGTGAGTGTGTTTAAAAAGAACTTTGGTAACATAAAAAAAAGAAAATAGTTTTTGAAAAGTAAACATTTTTTAACGTAAACAAAGAACGAGGACATTGTTTATTTTTTAGATTTATTAAATTAAAATTATTCTATATTTTTAATACAATATTAAAAAAAAAATTATAAATTTTTTTTTTCTGAATAAGGGTTATGAAACATTGGTTACAAAGATTTAAGTAATTATATTTAAAACATCTAATTTTACAAACAATTAACCCCCTGTCAATAGTTTGTTAAAACTAAATCAATGCTTTGCGGTATTGGATTTATAAACAACATGGATATATAATACTTAAAAATCTTGGATATATAATACATAAAAATATATAATTAGTATATAAATTATATATAAGTAATAAATATAAAAAATATATAGTATAATTATATAATATATAAAAATCATGGATATATAATACTTAAAAATCTTTTCAATAAGCTGCATCAATTTTGTCTCTAACTTAAGTTATAAGCACTTTCCAAGTGGCACGTAAAGATTTTTAAACTTCTTAAGTTATAAGGAACAAGTCTATATAAAAATTAGAATGTCCACTCAAAATGTTTAGTTTTCCTTTTTTTTTTTACATGTAGCGACCAGACTATATTTTGTAATTTTTAACGGGTTTTTTTGTTTTTTGATTCAATGGCTGATGATTGCCGTATAGACATGAAACTAAAAGTACCATAAAAAAAAGTTGTTTTTTCTTCATTAATATATATATATATATATATATATATATATATATATATATATATATATATATATATATATATATATATATATATATATATATATATATATATATATATATATATATATATATATATATATATATACTCTCACGTTTGGGGCAGGTGTAGCAAAATTTTTGCTACACCTGCCCCAAACGTGAGAGCAACAAGTTGATAAAATAATTTTTTTACTATTCTCAACTAAATCAATATTCATCGAGAATTTTTAAATTTCATACAATAATCTCTTAACGTTCATAAGTTATAGCCACATAAAGTTTGAATCCCCCTCAATTTGAGGGGGTTACAAATTTTATAAGACCATTATTATTAAACGCTAAAAGATTGTTTTACAAAATTAAAAATTTCTCGATGAATATAGATTTAGCTGAGAAAAGTAAAAAACTTATTTTATTAACTTGTTGCTCTCACGTTTGGGGCAGGTGTAGCAAAAATTTTGGGGCTTTTTTGTTCCCAGGCTCCTATCATCTCAATTTTTTGCAAAGTATCCATATTTGATATAACTATAAACATATAAAAGTTTCGAGTTCGCTCCATGTCTGGAAGGTAGTTATTTTCTGTATCCTCCCCTGATATATATATCGCTTTATTTGAAATATCTTTTTAATATTGAGCACTCGTTTTCGACTATGACTTTTTTTTATTATTATAATACAAAACAACTTTAAATATCAATGTATATATATATATATATATATATATATATATATATATATATACATACACATATATATATATATATACAGGGCCGGCGCGAGTAGGTGTCACGTGGGGGGGTGCCATTACAACTTTTACCGACTAAAAAAAAAAAAAAAAAAAAAAAAAGGTCCTCGTTTTCCAAAATTTGCCGACTGTCATAACGACATTTGCCGACTGTCTAACCTATATCGAAAGGGGGTCCATTTGCCGACTAACTAGGTCCAATTTGCCGACTAAGGGTCCAATTTGCCGACTAAGGGTCCAGTTTGCCGACTAAAAATCATTGATAATGGGGTGTAACACCCCCCCACACCCCCCTATCGCGCCGGCCTTATATATATATATATATATATATATATATATATATATATATATATATATATATATATATATATATATATATATATATATATATATATATATATTATGGCGGATTAGGACTTCTTGGGGCCCGGGGCTACTTTTATTTTTGAAGGCCTTTTTATGGGTCAGATCCTAAAAATGACTAAAGAAAATAAAATCTTCTAAAATATTTTGGGGCCCCTAAATTTGCGGGGCCTCGCGCTATAGCCTCACCCCATCTTTGATCCGGTATTGTATATATATATATATATATATATATATATATATATATATATATATATATATATATATATATATATATATATATATATATATATATATATATATATATATATATTAGCAATTTTTTAAGATATTCATAAATATAACAAGATATAGATTTATACTCTTAGCTTTATATTTTAATCAAAAACACTTTTATACAAATTAAATAAAAAAATACGAAATCTAATTTCCAACATCTTAAACAAAAGTGTTTCTATTCAAGTTTTTGCATGAACGCAATGAAGTGTGACGATTGTAATTATTGTCTTTTGTAATAACTAACTTTGATAAATATCAAAAGTATCTTTTTTGCGAGTTTTTAGAAAGAATACAGCTTCATAGTTTGCTTATTAGTTTATGTTGATATCTTCATTTGGTGAAATAACGCTGATAACACTAAATATCTTTAACACTAAAATCTAATATTGCTTAACAAAAGAAAGCTCTGGAAAAAAACTGATGTAAATATATTATTTTTATCAAAATAAACATTATGCAAAACTTCTCAGAAATACAACAGGAACTCTTTTTGACATAAGCAAAATGAAGGAAACTTTGTTAACAACGCGTGGTATGTTTTTTTCCATATTAGAAAACATTGTTCAAAAAGAAATGTTAAAAAACGTTTGTGTCCATATGCGGTTATGCCCCCACCTTCCCTACAATAAAAATATAGATTGCAATATATGCATTTTTTTAATTTTTAGGATCCTAACGAGTTAAACATTATTTAAATACAAAGTAAATAAGTTACGTTATTTATCACTGGAAACAGGGCTGCAAAACAGGTTACAAATTTGCGTTACTTCCCCTCTAAATTCAGCTCTGGAAACACGGTTTCGTATTTTGTACCATAATTGATCTCTAAACTTCATAAACTTTCAAAATTTTGCTTTACTAATATATAATTTGTATGTTTTATATTTTTAATTTCGAAAAACTGAAAACTAATAACACATAAAGTTCTGAAAAATTAATAAACATGATTTTAAATTATTTCTAAACGTAAACAATTTATGTAAATTGTGGTGTTCCCTACGGATCCGTACTAGAACCACTTTTTTTTTTATGCTTATGATTTTTATAATGTCTCAAAGGACAAAAATGCTGACGACGAACTTTTGTAATGTTGTTTGCTTTATATTTAAGTATAAAATAAATTTAACCCCTATATCTTTGCAAAATTTATATGCAAAATAGTCCAAAAACTAATATTACCTGAGAAATGATAATCTTCAACATTCGCATTAAATTTAAACTGATTGTAATTTTCTCAATAAATGATGTTAAATGATAATGATATAACTAATCGTAATATAATTTTGGAATTTATTATCATTATTATTTTATTTTTTTCAAGTTTTGTTGTATTAATGTTTTAATGAATTTTTAATTAAAATTAATGTTTTTAATGACAAGTTTTTAATCACTATGTTATTTACGGATTATTTGGATCTTGATGATTTATTATTACACTATTTTGTCTTCTTTTTGCCCCCGCCATTTATATAAAAAACAAAAGTTGTAAATATATGGGCAAAATTTATTTAAAAAAAAATTATTAGTTTTATTGATCTTGATTTTTTTTCTTTTTTTTTTTTGTAAATGTTTTATATAAAATATTTAGTTATATTTTTATTGTGTGTGTGTGTGTGGGGGGGGGGGGGGGAGGGGGTGTATGGGGGCGCATTGATAGCCGTAGCAGTATTTTGTAAACTGGAAACAATATAAATATAAAAACTTATTACTAAATTAAACTAGAACAATCTTTGTTCTAGTTTAATAATTTATTAGTCTTATGTTCATCAATTTAATAATTGATAAAATATTTTAACATTACAAATATTTTAACATTACAATAATTGATGAAATATTTTAACATTACAATAACCCTTGCAAACGATCAATGTAGCCCATGCAAGGGGGTACTATGGTTTCCGACTTGGTTTTTTAGCATTTTGATGTTATATGAGTCACATTATTTTCATGTTTATTACTGCTATAAGTGAAAATCGATATACCGGTATTTCAAGTTGGTACCATGTGTACCGTCTTCCTTTAATATTAAAATTTCTTTTTGTATCATTCTAGTCAAATCGTTAATATTTCAAGTTGTTTTTGGTACTGTTTTCTCATTATTTATGGCCGTGTCCAACTGCTGTTGTAATGTCAAGCTCAAAGGTTCGTTTTCACACATTATGGTATCTTCGTCATCATCTGTTTTGGATGGCAATGCTACAGTTTCAGAAAGCTGCTCAATAAGATTCACAATTAAATTTACCAAAGCAGTTTTAGTAAGTCGATCAAATATGATACCCGAACCAAAATTATTTTGGGCTTGATCTGCTTTATGAAGATATTTTATGAGATAAGATAAATTTGTGCGTCTTTCTTTTATTCTTTTAATTAAGAAGGTCTTCATATTGTTACTTAATGGTACTACGTTCAAATTTAGCAGCATAAATGCCATGGTAGTATTAGCTAATAGAAGATAAGCATCTCTCCGACATAAAGCCTTTACAGCCAATTTCACTGGTAGCAACATAAGAACTGTTAATAATATCAATTCTAATTCAGATTCCGTAAAGTTAATAGTTGATTTTAAGTCAATCAGGGATTTTTGAATGAATTTTTTTAATTTATAAAAACGCTTTAGCGCGCTAAAGCGTATAAACGCTAGCGTATAAAGAAAGCTGTTTCATATGGTCTTATAATCTAAAATTATTGACATTTCTTTACCACGTTAATTTTTTACATAAAATTGAAGGACTTCATTTTTTGTTTCAGACTTTTGTCATTGTTGATCGTTCAGACAATTACCAACAACAAAATTTTTTTACATCTTTTCTAACTTTGCTTCATCAATCAAGCCAATTTATTTGCAAGTTCATTTAAATTTGGTGAGCATTGAAAAAATTTTTATCCGTCTAAATTTTTTCATTTAAAATTTCACCAGCACTAAATTCATCAGATTCAAAATAATCATCTGAAGAGTCCACGACCGTTATTTTATACAAAATGTCAACCACAGCCAATAGGATTCCATGGGTTAGACAAAGTTGTTGGTCGATGGACATTAATCTTCCCACTTTCTTCATAACCAAAACACCATTCCTGGTAATACATACGATAGTTGTGTTCTTTTAGTAGGTTGTCGATTAACTTAACACACATTTCTGCTGGGAAATGTCCATTACCTCGCGTAGATCCAAATTCCAAAATATGTTTCGAGAATGAACATCAATGTTCAAATAATGTCTATTTTTTATCTAAAACATTCGACAGTATATTTTCGTCTTCGTTTTTTGTAAAATAAGTTGAAAGTTTATTTCTGGATCTAGCAAGTTGCATATTAGGTGTAGTGGAAACATCAGCAGCAGATAGCGAAATTGAAACTTCAACTGGACAACGTTTCAATAAATTTGTTTGGTAAGATGTCCTAAAATGTGTATGGAGTCCACTACTCGAGCCACCACAGGTCTTGATCTCTCTAGCACATTTTTTACATTTCTCTACAGCTCCAAACTTTTTGCGCAAAAAATATTGTCAAACAGAATTTTTGTCCTTAAGTCCCTTTTTAAAGATGAGTTTCCACTTATCCGTATTTCTACGGAACGGGAAAAGGAACGAAAAAATAATCACGTTAGCATGCGCAAATAAAATCTTTTATAATAATAATAATAATAATGTACACTGTGACAACTGATGAAATCAATTGTGGAGCACAACAACAGAAGATGTTGTGCTATAACAGCTATAAATGTTTTATAATAGCATTGTTTACTTTTCAATGTATATAGATATTATTTAGTATTTAACAAATAATTTTTGCAGTATTCTGATTTATCAAGTTTATTTTTGAATTGGTCAATTGTCATTGATTCGATAATATATGGTGGTAAACCATTCCAAGCATTTACGACTCTACAGGAAAAGAAATTATATCTATAATTGCTCTAACAATATGCCTTTTTTAACTTTTGGTTATGACTACGAAAATTGTAAGGTTTAAATTGAACTTGAGATGTCGAGTCGTTTATCCAATTTATTTTCTCATAACCGTTTTGTATTTTATATTGAAAAATAAGATCTCTTAAAGGGCGTTCTTCTAGAGTTGTTAATTTCATTAACTGTAATCTTTTTTCATATGGCATTTTTTTAAAAGCTGGTACGAATTTTGCTGCCCTTCTCTGTACTTTTTCTAACTTTAAGATGTCTTGCTTCAGATAAGGGCACCGTGCTTGGATTGCAAACTCAAGATGCGGTCTTACAAAAGTTGTATATAATTTTTTTGTCATATTTGAGTCGAAATATTTAAAAGTTCGTTTAATAAGAGCAAGCATTTGATTTGATTTACCAACAGCTTTATCAATATGACTGGTCCATTTTAAATTAGATTGCATCATTACTCCTAAATCACGTTCTTCTTTTGATGCTGCTAATATATTATTCTGTTGAGTTTCAACGTCGAACATTGAATAAGTTATACTAGGATTTTTAAAACCAATGTGCATAATTTTACACTTTTCATAGTTAAATTTCATTAACCATAGTCACGACCATTTCATAATATTATCAATATCTAGTTGTAATTTGTTTATACGGATATCTTCATCTGATTTAAAAATATTTATAATTTTGCTATCATCTGCATACAATTTAATATTATTTTTTAATGTGTCTGGCAGATCGTTTATAAAAATAAGAAACAGAAGAGGCCTAAGGACAGAACCTTGTGGAACTCCACTCTCAACTGTTAGCCATTTTGATACACAATCCCCTAAAATTACTCGTTGCTTTCTATTATGTAAATAGGCTTCTACCCAATTTAGAATTACTTTAACTATACCATATGATATTAACTTTGACATCAATCGCATATGAGGTACTTTATCAAAAGCTTTTGAGAAATCTGTATACAACACATCAACACAACAGCCATTCTATTACGCAGACTTACATGATTACGTGATTGGAAACTCGCCTTAAAATCTTCAAATACTTTTGTTTTATCAGCCATGGCTATGGCAACACGTTTTTGAATACTAGAATTTGAAATATAAAAAATAACTTTAAAATAGTACAAAATAATTTTAAAATAATACATAATATATAAATATCAAAAATTTATAAATATGAAGATAATTTCATATTTTATGAATTTTAGATATTATATGAAATTAAAATAGTTATATTATATGAGATAAACAAAACAAAATCTCTTTATTATATGAATTAAAAAACATAACTACATCTACATGTACATCTCTCTATTATTTAGAGATGTTGATATGTTTTTTTTATACAAATGATTTGGTTTTATCATTTATTTTTGTTGTAATCTATTTTTTTAATGAAATTTTTATATTTTAATTTTATATTTTATAGTCTCCTATTAAATAGATATTAGGGTTAGCTATGGAAAACTATATAGGGTAGATTAGGGTAATATGAGCACCTTGGTAATACGAGCATGCTTAAAGATTTTTTAGATGTAAGCAGTGAAGTTAAAATTGTTTTGTATTTTTTGAATCGACATTATGCGGTGATAACATGAATCAGTATAATTAGCGTAAATTTAAATTTAGTAAATAGCGGCTATCGTCTAATCAAAACGCTGTTAAATTTTTAGCGTTTTTAAAATTATATCGCCACGCATGAATAAATCTTGTAGGCGCAGAATTTTGGTGCTAAAATAATGAAATTAATTTTTTTCACAAAGAAAAGTATGTTAGCCAAAAATTCAATCCATTTTTGTTTAAAAAACAATGCATAGACACGTTTAATTTTGACTTTTTTTAAACATACTATATTTGGCATCTTTAATATTGCTAAGACATATAAACATCTCTAAATAATAGAGAAATGTAGTTATGTTTTTTTCGAAAATTACCCTGTGTCCTTTCATTAAAACTACCTAGTTTAAAGTCCTAGAATAACAGTGGTTTTAATTGTTTTTAAGAAAAAATTCTGAAAGCCCAAATAAGTCTATCATGAGTAAGGATCCTTAAAATTAGTTTATTCGCAAAAATTTTGGATCCAGCAAGTTATTTTTGAAAGTATTCCATTTATCGCTTAAGGTGCTCGTTTTACCCTAATCTGCCCTAAGGATGTTTTATAACCTAAAAAGAAAGATATAAATCATTAGAAAAAAAGCGAATATTTTTATAGACTATTCTTAAGCTAAACCGCAAAAATAACTGTTGGCCTCGCTATTAATTAAACACAGAGTTTAAAAACAGAATAAAGTATATTTTCACAGACATATTTATTATAAACACTTCATACAAATCAAAATTCAGTGTATTTTTTATGAGAAAATATTATATTTATTTATTTATTTAATTGCTGCGGTGAGCAAATGCTCACTGAGTAATCCACTTTAACAGCAAGTTTAAAAAATACAGTTTGAAATTTTGATTCACATAATAAAGTTCATCAAGACTTTTTTTAAAGTTTAACACTGACTTATAAAGTTCGACATCAAACGGCAAATTATTCCAAATTGGAATAATACGATTGGAAAAAAAATTTCTTCTACTCAAGTGTCAACAGATCTCAGAAGAATATCTATGATTGTCGATATAGTTACGAACACTTACAGCTGGTCCAGTTGGTCGACAAAAGTTCCTTAGGGAAGATACTTTGTTTAGCTGATAAGAATTATTAAAACATTTAAAAAAGTTAATTAAATTGCTTTTTTTAAAATGGATTCCAAATAGAGAACGTATATTCTAGATGAGAGCGTACTAGCAAAACATTTAACAATTTAAGTATATCAGCATTTAAAAATGAAAGCGTGTGTCGGATAAGACCTAAAATTCTATTTGCTTTAGAAACACACGCAGATATATGATGACCATATTTCAGATTGCTTTTAAACATGATACCAGGATCATTTACACAGCTCACAGTACTCAGTTGATAATCAGAAATGTAATACTTATTGATATTTTTATTTAATTTATTACTTTTATTGATATGCATTATTTTACATTTTTCTATATTTAGTTGCATACTCCAGTACTTGCACCAGTTGAAAATAGAATTTGTGTCATCCTGTAGATCATTACTACTTTTATCACGGATAATCAGAAAAACTTTGCAATCATCAGCATAGAGCTTGCAATTATCAGCATAGAGGATTTATTTTTTAGTTTATCTGGAAGATCGTTAATATAAATTAAATACAAAATTGTTCCCAGAACAGATCCTTGTGGTACACCACTTAAAACATTAAGCGACGTAAAAGCAATGTCTTCAAGAACAACTCTTTGTCTTTTATTTGATAAAAAAGACTTAATCCATTTAAGAATTTCCCTTTATACCGTACATTTCAATTTTTAATACAAGTTTTCTATGGTGAACTTTGTCAAATGCTTTAGAAAAGTCAGTAAAAAGAATATCAATAGGATAATCTTGATCTACTGCTAAAGTTACAATATCTTGGCTTTCAAGTAAATTTGTAAAGCAAGATTTACCAGGAAAAAACCATGCTGATTCTTGTTTATCAAACTATTGTCTAAAAGATGCCGAATGATGTTTTTTTTTTAATATCCTTTCTAAAATTTTGCATATAACTGACGTGAGAGAAACAGGTCTATAGTTGTAATGATCAAGTTTATCGCGGTTTTTTAAAATCTGAACTATGTTTGAGTCTTTCCATGCTTTTGGTACTACTCCCGATGTAAGTAATAGCTTAAAAATATGTTCAATAGGAATACTCAGAACAGGTACTCAATACATACGGATGGACACCATCGTTCCCACAGGATTTGTTTTTATCCAATGAATTTAACTGTACAAGAATTTCTTTCGAGCTGATTATTATATTTATATCATTTTCACAGTGAACATGAGTAACAGGATTAAAACATATATTTATATCATTTTAAACACGCTATCGCGGTTATAACTTTAAATTAGAATCAATGAATAGAAAATAGAATATTAAAATAATCTACAATTTAAAAAATAACAGCCTGCTTTATTTATTGTGATCCAAAGTATAGAACAACAAAAGTTCAATGTATGGATCAACTCAACAAAGTTACATCAAAAACAACACACACAAAAATTTTTACTTTAAATTTTATTTTAACACTAATTTAAAAAAAGGTTCAAATAAAAATTAATAACCAAACATAAATTTTTATTTAAAAGAAGTCTCAAGAAGTCCATACGATTTTATCATAGAGCACCACGAATGAGCATATAATAGGAAGTTCTCGCCTACTTCCTAACCTATGGTGCGAAACTTGCCCAGAAGAGGGGTTTGATCCTTTGTTTCTGAGGCAAGTGCGATACCACTGCGCCACAGTTGCTTCATAACAAAAATTAACAATAACATAACAAAATAACATAACAAAAAGGTACAAAACTTCTTTTTTAAAAAACAACTTTCTATTAAAATCTCTTCAGCAACATTTTTTCCGTTTGTGTTTGTTTTATATAATATATTTTTGGTTTATATAATAATTTCAACATAAAATCCTAAAACAAACATTCCAAATGAAAATAAAAACATCTTCAGTAAAAATAAAAATAGGCAAGACAAAAAGCGTAGTAATTTAGTTTTGGGAAAAAAATCAAAAATAAAGAATATCACACTCATGATATATATTGACAACCATTGAAAACTTGTAAAAGTTAAAAAACACGTCTTAACATAAGTTTATTTTATTAAAACGAGTTATACCAAGAATTAAACTCCAATGCGCTTACTTAAAACTAGTGTTGCCAAACGTCCGGCTATGATAGAGGAGAATACACCGCTAAAGCAGTAAAAAAAAAAATTTTTTTTACTGTGTTCTCCTTCTTAAAAGCCGGACATTTGGCAACCTATTTAACTTTACTTTTTACCGCTATATATTTTTCTTATATATTTTTGTTTTATTTATTTGTAAACAGGGGCTGATAGCAGTTTTACTTTGTATTGAAATGTTGTACTCTGTATAAATATAATAACAATACTACTAATAATAAAAATAATAGTTATAATAACAATTATATTAATAATAACACTAAATTAGACAAGTATTGCCGCCAAAATCATAAGTAATTCAGCCTTTCCAGCTGTTGGAGTGTTCGGCATGCTTATCATTCAGAAAACAATGGCGTCTTCGTTTAATACCCTCCTTAGTATCTTCCTTTGCATAAACTTTTTAATATTAAAATGTTAGCTTCTTTTTCGGTTATTTTTATTTTTGTCTTTTTTTTTGAAGTTCAATTAAAGCCAAATGGAAAGGTTTTTATGCTTGTTTTTGATGGGTTTATTCACAACTATAAAAGTTACAACATATCAATGCCGAATCTCGATAAAATAGTTAGAGATGGAGTTTACTCAGAAAGAATGATTCCTTCATTTCCTTCAGATACATGGCCTACAATGACCACGCTTTCAACTGGTTTGTATAGTGAATCGCATGGCATCATAGGAAACAAATTCATGGATTACAAGAAAAATATTTCGTTTAGCTATGATTCTGATCCTAAAGATTATGAAAAAAATGGACAATTTTTTACACAAGAACCTCTCTGGCTAACTAATCAAAAACAAGGCGGTAATTATAAATAAATCTTATGAAAAGTTATTGTAATTTCTGACTATAAACAAAGCACATAATTTAGTATACATTTTTACTTTTAGTATAATTTTATAAAGTTCATGTTCAGACTGCACAACAATCTTGGATTTTATTTCATATTGTGTTTTTCAAATTTTTTCAGGGTCCAGTCTTGTATATTATATGCCAGGCTACTATGCTTTTAAAGAAAAACCTACTTATCACAATTATCCAATAACTTCAAGTAACAGTAATGTAGAAACAGGAAGAAAGTCTATAGATGAAGCTATTAAGTATTTAAATGAAGATCCCTTATTAAACTTTTTGCAGATATGGATTGATCAACCTGATGGTGCAGGACATTATTACGGAAAATCCTCAATTGAGGCAAATTATTTTTTTAAATAACTTATTAAATATAGGGTAGATTAGAGTAATATGAGTACCTTAAGCGAAAATTGGAATATTTTCAAAAATAATTATGCTGGATCGAAAATTTTTGCGAATAAACAATATTCAGATATCCCTACTTATGATCCACATTGAAATTTGGGCACTCGAAATTTTTTCTTAAAAACACAGTGGTTTAAAAAAAGTAGCCAAAGTGCTTATATTACTAAGACCATTTGGTAATATGAGCACTTTAAATTAGCTTAAAAAAATTACATTTGAACGAAAAAAATTAAGAATTTTTGAGTTTAAATTACAGAAAAATATTTAGTATTATTAAAGTATAAAAGTTTTTTACTAGGTTTTGTTTTTGTTCGAAAAGCAATTAAAGCCACTTCTTTTTTAGGACATTAAACTAGGTAATTTCAATGAAAACTAGGTAATTTCAATGAGCACTGGGTAATTTTAATGAACACTGGGTAATTTGAGCATGCTCATTACACAATGGCATCTTCAAATAAAGTCAATACTAAACGTGTCTACGCATTGTTTTTTAAACAAAAATTGATTGAATTTTTGGCTAACATTTTTCTTTTTGAAAAATTAATTTCATTATTTTAGCACCAAAATTCTGCACCACAGATTTATTTATGCGTGATGATATAACTTTAACAACGCAAAAAAATTAACAGCGTTTTAGTTAGATGATAGCCGCTAATTCCTGCATATAAATTAACTAATTTCTATTATCTAATTGTACTAATTTCTATTATCGCCACATAAAGTTGATTCAAAAAATACAAAGCAACTTTAACTTAGATGCTTACATCTAAGAAATTTTCAAGTATGCTTTTATTACCAACGTGCTCATATTACCCTAATCTACCCTAATAAATATGTAGTATATATCTTTAACATTTTTTATATATCTTTAACATTTTTTTTAAACTTAATCGTTTGGTACCATTCTTTACAAGCACTTGTGTTAAAAAATCAATATCTTGAAGTAAACTTGTTTATACAGCTAGTTCCTGATAATTCGAACCTCCAAGCAAAATGGTTCAACTTACTGAATGTTCAAATAATGCGAATTCCCAATAATTCGAACTTCGGCTGATTTGAAATATTAGTTCTCTAATTGCCTGTTTTGTTCAAACACAAAATCAAACCAGCTACTTTGTTTTCTTATCAATTATCTTATTATTATTATCTTGTTAAATCTGGGGCATTTCATCACAATGTCATCGCAGTTTTTTACAAAGTGTAAAATACTTTACAAGTATTTTAAATTTAGCAAAGGCAGATGTTACACAATATTAAAGAGGCTATAGATGTAACGCAATGTTACAGAGGCTATAGATGTTACACAATGTTGCAGAGGTTATAGATTTTACGCAATGTTGCAGAGGCTATAGATGTTACGCAATGTTCCAGAGGTTATAGATGTTACACAATGTTATAAAAGCTATAGATGTTACACAATGTTGCAGAGGCTATAGATTTTACGCAATGTTGCAGAGGCTATAGATGTTACACAATGTTACAGAGGTTATAAATGTTACACAATGTTAAAAAATTACATATCTACATATCTAATGTGCCTAATCCAATATGGCGTTTACAAAATTTACAGATTTATGTGTCCAGTTTCCAGGGTAATAGTGAAACCTACTTGAAGAGGTAGTGTCTAACTTGGCTTTATCTAAGAACTTGCATTCAAATATAATATTGGTTTTGATTAGAATGTAGCTTTAACAAATCTTAACTGACCCCCTCAACAAGGCACTCATCCTCAGCGCGTTTCTCTTGTAAAGTTAATTTAATGTAGTCAATAGCATCAACGTTTATTTACTGTAACCCATATGTCTTGAAGATAGTTTTAATTGTCACCTAAATCATTGATTTCGAGTACATCGGGAGAAAAAGACCACCGAACGTTTCATTTGTAACATAGAAATTGTATTTTGTTTTGTAATCCTCTTAAATCTTTAACCATGCTGCCTTTTTACATCAAGAAAATACATGACGTTGGTGCATTTAAAAGGAATCAGGATTAACATGATGTTGAAATCTGCTAACTACTTAACAAAATGATGTTGAATTTAAGATTCATGTTTATATGACAAAATTACTGGGTTTTTAATATTTTTAGATATTCCCAAATGTACTTTATAACATCTCGTAATTATAATAACCGCTTTAGGATTTTCCAATGACTGTCAGCATATAAGATAAAGATGCATAAATATTCATTAAAGAACGCACTTTGAAATATATTATAAGCAGTGGCAGCAACCCATCAGCACTCATATTCTCTGTAAAGAGAGTGTGAATGTAAAGAGCAAAAAATTTTAAAACTAGTATAGAAACAGTGGCGTACCTACGGGGGGGGGGGGGGGCTCATCGCCCCGGGTGTCATCCAATTTATTAATATCTTATATTTTATTTTGGTTTATAATTAAACAGTCTTACATATAAAAATAAGTGGGTATTTATTTACACGACCTATGAAATGCTGAATGCTGAAAGATATAGTTATCATTATTTAGAAAATATAATCGCATAGCTTTCTTATTATTGTCGAAAACAAGGTTTAAAATTACATGTGTCAACGTTTCTAAATACTGCTTTAATAATTTCGTATATAAAAATAATTACATATAATATATGGGTGACACCCTATTTGCCGCCCCGGGTGACAACATAACTAGGAACGCCACTGTATAGAAACTATTATAATTATGAAATGCAGTTTTTACTAACCACTCATAAATCTGCCAAACTTGTATGGTCTGTTTGTATTTACTATCTTAATTTGTTTCTCATCCTCTAAAAAACTAGACGAAAAAGATAAACAGTGTTTTTGCAAACAGGATGTGCACTTTGTTGAGCACTCATAATTATTTTGGCAATAGGAACCTTTTTATTAAGTTTGTCCCTTATGGTGGTTCTAGGTATTCCATAATGCCTTTCAGCCTCCAGAATAATTCTGAGTTTGCTGAAAAAAATGAATAAAAATAAAACAATAAAAAAAAAATTATTTTATTATTTGCAAAGTGACATTGTGTATGTAACAAGTCTGTGGGGGCAGTTTTTATGTTTACATTAGTGTATGATCTGCATGTTGCTTTTCGAGAAGGTTTATGAACTTTCTTGCTCATGTCTAAGTATTTTATGAGAGCCTATCTCTTTACAAATTCTACTGATGATTTATACTAAATTAAAACCCTCAAAAATTATCATTAAGAACCGTATATAGTTTTTATAACTACACTTTAAATCGTATAAACATATTAACAATAATTATTGATTAAAAACTAATTAAATACGGGTGTAAAAATAGACGGCTGTAGTATAATGATTTATAAATTATCAAACGAGTGTAGTGTTATGATTTATAAATGATCAAACGGGTGTAGTATAATGATTTATAAATGATTAAAATGTCAGTTATCTAGGTGGCGACTACTTGAAATTGAGTGTGGCGAAGAATGGAAAAGATTTAACTGCTTCTTACATTTTTAATGAAATTAATCCCATAATGATGTTTGTGTCAGAGTTCATATTTTACCATGAGGAAAAAAAAAAGTAAAATATTAAAAAACATATATATTCGGTGGCGATTACTAGCAAGGAGATTATATCCATTTCAGTGTTCGCCACCATCCTTTCAAATGCATCAACTAGTTCTATGTTTGTAAGATATTCCTGCATCTAAATAACTGCCTTAAATAGAAAAAAATACAATTAGGTTATGAATAATGTGTTTTTTGAGTGATTATTCAAAATCATTTGAGTGATTATCCTTTTCTAAAATTTATTATTAAGCATTAATGTACTTTTGGCAAATAATTAAGCATTAATGTATTTTTTGCGTACTTTAATGATCTAAAATTAATGCTAAAGTTTAGCAGCTAAACTAGTTTTCAATAAATGATGAAATTTTGATTTGTGGTTTTCTTTTTAAATCATTTGAAATAAATACGCCAAAATCTTTTTCTAATCAGCGTAATCGATTTTCACATTATTGTTAGTCATTAAATATTTATGATTATTTATGTTTGTTATGATTATCAAATAATAATGATTTTTAATACCAGTATGAATAATTTTATATTTTTTTAAATTGATTTGCATTTTCCAGTTTTTGCCTTTTAAAGCCGTTGCATCCATTTCATTAGTAACCTGAGCTACTTCACAACCATCTGCATCATTTCACTTGTAGATTGACTTTATTTTGAAATTTATTGATGCATATTAAAAATAAAATTGGACCATACTTCGATCTTAGTTTTATACCGCATCCCTGTAGGCACGGACTCAGTTAAAAGAGAATATATCCAATTTAATATCGAAGATGCAATGCCATATGCATCAGGTTTTAGTAAAAATTTTCTGTGCAACACTTTATCAATGGTTTTTTTAAAAAGGATATCAAATGATTTACCACTTTTGACACCTGTTGTTTCTGCATCCATATATTCCAGCAGATTTATTGTACACCATCTTTTTTATCTTTTGTAAAACCATGCTAAGATAATAATAAATTGTTAACCTACAGATCATAAAAGAGTTGGTTAGGTATTCAACGTTCTAAAGTTTTACAAAAAATAAAAGTAATGGAAACCAATATAAAGTTCTACCATTACGTTTAAATAACGACATTATGTTTGCTGCTTTTAATAAATTAGGCACAATTGATGGATAGATTTCTTAAATAACAAAGTTAATGGATTAGAAAAAAACATTTAAGCATACCTCCGATACGAAATAATGATTTCCATATGGTCTGATCAATTTTCTTGGGTTTAAAGCATGTTAAATAAATTGTAGTAAATTTAAACACATTTTTATCAAAGTTTTGTAAAATTTTATCATTATCTTTTATAAATAATAATTGGAATAATTAAAATGATTGTTTACAGTGTCAACGATCTGTTTTTGGTCCGTAACACATGATGAAATCTTTAATTGATTTTAAATTTTTTAAATATTTTTCTTTAAAAAAAAGGAAAATTTTGAGTGTGGTGAATACAGAATTTACACAAATACTTTCTTTTTCTTTTTTTCTTTTTTTTTTCTCAAAAAGAATTAGAAAAATTTTATTGGTTAAATATATACAACCAACAGTTAAATTAGTTAATAAGTTTAATAATACATCCAGAAACTGTTGAAGGGTTAACCTCGTAAATTTCAGCACATTTTTTAAGACTTTTGTATTTTTTTAAATTAATATATATATATATATATATATATATATATATATATATATATATATATATATATATATATATATATATATATATATATATATAGCGCACTGAAAAACGCTAACATGTTGTTTTTTTTAACAGTACAAACAGTCTATGAAAAGACTTGATAGCGATGTGATTGGATATACTTTAAAAAAGTTGAAGGATGACGTAAACTTTATTATAGTTGCAGATCATGGTTTCATAGACGTGAAAAATGATACAAATATTTCCTATTTAGAAGATTATGTTAATCTTACACACATAACATACTATGGTGATTGTAGTGGTTCATGCTTTATAAACCCCGTTAAAGGCTACCCAATGGAAGATCTCATAAAAAGACTTGCGCCTTTAAATGAAACTAAGCATTATAGAATATACAGGTAATTGTTTGTCATAAAAATTGTTTGATATAAAAAAATTATGAACTTGGTCATCTTATTTAAATCAAAATTAAAATCTTTAGAAGAGGCGACCCTTCTTGCGACTTTCCAGATCATCTACATTATAGAAATAATCGCAATATTGCTCAACTATTAATTCTTTCGGATGAAACATGGTTAGTTAGGCCTTCAAGAAAAAATGATTTTAAGTATGGTGGGCGTCATGGTTATGACAACGCTTATGAAAACATGGGAACAATATTTTTTGCGAAGGGTCCAGCATTTAAAAAAAGAGCAAAACTAGGTCCTTTTGAAAGTGTAAATATTGTTCCATTAGTTGGATTTTTGCTTGGGATCAAAGCCCCACCAAACAATGGGTCACTTGAAACATTTAAGGATGTTTTGCATTAAAGAAATTATATATTCATCACCTATAATGAGAATTTATAAATATGTACTTAAACTGTAAATCAAATGCTATTCATTGTATTATAGTTGTAATTACAAGTTTTAATTACATTTGTTATTTTTATTTATTGCAGCTATATATTTTTAATGACGTTAAAACATAAAATTAGTAACACCATGATCTACTTAAAGTATACTTTAAAGGTTTACTTAAGTATGTATAACGTAATACTTGAGTATGAAAAAAGTAAACAAAACTTATGAATAAAGTATACTCTAATTAGACCATTATAACACTATGTAATAACAATTTATATAAAAAACTCTACTCAAAAATGTATCCGTTTAATTACTAGATATAAAGGCAAGCTTGCTAGAACCATTAAAATTGCTAGAACCTTTAAAAATGTCAAATTTTCGCAATTTGTTTTTTCAAAAATACTTATCCTCGAAATCTACATAACTTTTTTCAATTAAAAAAGCTCTGGACTGTTTTTATTTTAAATAAACATATTAACTTGGTGCTTATAAAAAATATATGTTTGGTGTTAATTATGAAAATCATTTTAGAGCAATAAGTAATACGCAATTAAAAAAACGTTTAAATCTAATTTTAATTATTACAAATTTTAATTACAAATTTATACTATTTAACAATATTTTTAAAGAATATATCATTTCATTGTATTGATGGATTAAATTTAAAGGATGATGGAATATTTTTAAAAAAAATTAAAGTTGGTTAGAGAGAACAGGTGTAAAACTGCAAATAAGTATATATTAGCGATGTCCCTTCATCATCTGGAGGAATTCGCGGACTCGTCCTTTAAAACCAAAAAAAGGAAGGTTGAAGACAAATCACAAAGTGCAACTGAGTTAACCACAGCTGCTGAAGTAGCATGTCATTTGTCGGGGCACAGAAACCAAGCTACTTTAATTTAAAAAAGTTTGCAATCATCAGAAAAAATAAAATCAAAAGACTTTATTTGTGGTTGCAGGCAATTGTATTGTGACGAGGCAGGGGCGGACTTAAACCCCGTCAAGTGCTGCAAGTGACGGGGTAAAAAAACAAAAATAAATATAAGTATTATGACGTCTAACGCCCGCCTAAAGTTAATTGCCCATCTATATATTTTTGTTAGAAAATATAATTAGAAAAAATTTACAGTGAAAACTATGCTTTGCAGACGTTTGAAAAAGTGTTTTATAAAAATTGCTAATGTAAACTATACTTTGCAGGGTATTAGAAAATTATTTATAAAACTTGCTAATGTAAACTCTACTTTGCAGGATATGAGAAAATTGGATAAGTCTATTGGTTTACGCTATTAAAAGTATCAATTTGATTCGTTTAAAAAAAAAACATGTTTAGTGTAAACTATCCTTTGCAGCATTTGCAGCAGTAATTTGATTGGTTGCAAAGATCGATAAACAACTCAAAATAACTCAAAGAACTCCGTTCAGGGTTTTAACGTATAAGCATGGCTTACAACTTAATTAATGATGTACTTAAAAGATTTAAAACCGATAATCTTGTCGATTTAAATACTTTTTATGAAACTTTATTGGATACATTTATTTACAACAATAACAAAATGGTTAGTAACGAAGGTCTTTTAAGTCGTTTTATTGATGGCACAATATGAAGAAAAATATGTGCCGAAGTTTGTATCCCTTTTTACTTAAAAGACAATAAAATGCATTGTATTGCTCTAAGGTAAGTCAATTTACTTTTTTTTCAAAAGTAATTATCTTATTGTATTTTATTATAAAATTTAATACTTTTTTGTAAAAATATTTATTTTAATACCGTATTAATCTAATCTATAAAAAAAATCTCGTTGACTAATCAATACCCTAACCCTAACCCTGAACCCTGACGGTATTTAATGTGTCAACATCGTCAAATGATTTTGACATGTATGAATATAATATGTTTATGATGTATGTATTAAATTCCTACATGTCAAAATCGTTTGTTGGTTTGTCTGAATTCTTGACTATTGATTTGATTTATGAATTTGTTTAAAAAGCAAAGATTTTTTACTCAATTTTAAATTTATTTATGAAAGAAGTTTAGCTCTTAAAAACATGAAGTAAATATATTTTTTTTTTCTTAAGGTCTGAAGCATCTGGAAGTTATATGTACAGCTCTGCATCATTATTTTTTGTTGCTGACAATACACTGATGGATGTGTTAAGGGTTTTAACATCCCTTGAAATTTATATACAAGTTGATTATTACTGTAAGCATCCTTTATTTTCAAAAATATTTTCTGATTGTAGTTCTCATTTTATTAATCTCAAAAGTTTGTTGTGTACGTCAGTATCTCATTCTGCATTAGATTCTGGCTTCGAAAATAATAATATTATTAAAACTGAAGCAATTGCAAACTGTGAGAGCACAGAAAAATGGGCTGGTTTTTTATGTTTGTTAGGTTATCATCGGTTCTTTCTTGTAATATTGTTTCCTGTTACCCAGATTTCGGTGTTGAAAAGTATAAAATATTTTTTAACCTAGAGATCTCACCACGTACTCCCATTAAATTTTGTTCCCCATTTTACATTTTGTTTTCTTATGATGGGAATTTTCAGTCAGGTACATTTCAGCATAATCACTATGTCTCACTAATTTTTATTCCTAAAAAGCGTAAACTTTCCAATAAATCAAAAACAATAATTTCGAAAAAATTGCTGCCAGTCTTGTCACCTAATAAATTTCTAGATACAAAACAGACCACCATTGATCAAGTTGATACAATTGTACCCAGCACAGAAGCTAAAAATCCAAATAAAAAGTCTTACTCTATCCTTACATTCTTTCATAAAACAAACCCAGACTTAGAACCTACTAGTGCAGTCTTACAAAATACATCTTGTATTCTAAAATCAAATAGTTTTTCTTCTCAATTAGCAGTGTCTTCTTCTCAATCCACAACATCTTTTCAATCATTAACATTAAATAAAGATGTTTCTTCTCACTCAAAAACATCTAGACAGTGTTCTATCAAAATCTTTTTTTACAAAATCTTCAAGCATCAGGAAAGTACCTAATTTTTATAATAGTAATAATATTGAATGCCCTTCAAACATTATTTTACCACCTAAAGAAGTACTAAATGCTCTCCAGTCTTTTGAGCAAAATGACTATTAGATCATTTTTCAAATCATGAGTCAACTAAAAATGGTTTACATGCATTTACTATGCCTGTTTTTAATATTTTTTTGAGTCATTCCTCAGGCATAAGTCAACCAATAAATGTCATCATTGATACTAATGTAAAAGAAAAAATAATGAAAAATCGCCAAATACTTCGTCCTATTGTTGATGCTATAACTTTTTGCGGTCAAACCAATACGCCTTTGAGAGGCCACAGAGATGATTCACAAAATCTTCCAGAGGCTGGAGAGTATTCGAAATGTGGAACTGGTTGTTTTAATAAACTTTTAAATTTTGCTGTACGCAATGGAAATGATGTTTTAGGCTCTCATCTTAATAACTGTTCAAAGAATGCCTCCTATATTTCGAAGACTTCACAAAATGAAATTATTAAATGCTGTGGTGAAGAAATTAGTGAATCTATACTATCTGAAGTTTGCAAAAATGTTTTTTTTTCAATAATTGCAGATGAAGCCTGCGACTCATCTACTAAAGAGCAAATGTCATTAGTTTTACGATTTGTTGATAGTGATTTCAATATCAGAGAAGACTTTATTCAATTTATTCATTGTAGTGAAGGAGTTAAAGGAAAAGATTTGTTTAATGTTCTATTAAATTGTGTAAGCAACTTGAATCTAGATATAAAAAACTATAGGGGTAAGGGATATGATGGAGCCAGTTCTGTCTCTGGGTATATAAATGGTCATTCTGCTCCGGTTCTCAATATAAATTCAAAGGCTTTGTATACACATTGTCATAGCCATCGACTGAACTTATCAGTTTGTGAATCGTGTTATGTCCAATTAGTTTCAGAGGTTTTTAATAAAGTTCGCAAACTTTCTTATTTTTTTAATTATTCAGAAAATATACAAAAGTTTTTAGAAGCTAGCATTTTAGAGCGAGAACAAACGCAAAAAATTAAAAGATATCTGTAGAACTAGATGGATTGAGCGTATAGATGGTTTAAACACTTTTCTTGAGCATTATTTATCTATTTTCCATGCTTTATGTATCATGGCTTCCCCTGAGAGTTTACAAAGTTAACTTTGTTAACTTTGTTAACTCTCTGTTAACAAAGACACACAAAACAAATCTTCTACTTTTTTAAATTCCATTGGCACTTTTCAATTCGTCCTTACTTTAGTTGTGACAACACGTGTCTTTGATTTTACTTTACCTGTTACTCGGTTACTGCAATCAAAAACTATTGATATCTTAGACGGTTTGCACCTTATTACAGCTCTTAAAAATACATTTATTTCCATCAGAAACGATATAGATAGTTTTCATAATAACTGCTATGAAGCAGCATGTTTGCTTTCAAAAAAAGCTGAAATTTTTGTTTTAAAACCAAGAGCCTGTTCTATTCGAAAAAATCGTTCTAATGTTCCATCAGAGTCTGTTTCAGAATACTTCAAAAGAGCTGTTACTATCCCTCTTATAGATCATGTATTTACATCTATATCTACAAGATTTAAATCAGAAACTGTAGCTGCATATAAAGGGTTATCAATTATTCCATTTAATATTATTTCTTTTCTTAAAAGATCCAAAACCCAATTGTGTTGGAGGAAGCAGTTTGAAACATTCTGTGATTTTTATATAGATGATTTCCCTAATATCAGTGCCTTGAATGGGGAACTAGTTCTTTGGGAAAAATACTGGGAAAGTTTCTCTGGGACTACTCCTGACAATATATCTTTAACTATTAAATCGATATCATTTCCTGGATTTGAAAATATTAAGATAGCTTTAAAGATACTTGGGACACTTCCTGTTACTTCATGTGAGTGTGAGAGGAGTTTTTCTGTTATGCGTCGGTTAAAAGACTATATGAGAACAACAATGTCAGAAGATCGACTTAACGGTTTGGCATTAATGTATATCCATCAAGAAATTGTTCCTTGTATTGATAATGTTATCAATAGATTTTCTATAAAAAATAGACAACTTGATTTCAATGATTAGTGTCTATACTGTTTATTCTATAACACGCCAACAACTTTTAAAATTTTTGTCTATTATCACCTCTCTTCATATAACAGCTAACAAATAGGACTTCAATGATGTCCTTAACAGGACGGGTTAAATGTAACCCCATACTTTTTGTTTGGGATTAGCTATATGATTAGTGATCATAGTTCAGGCAAACATTAACCATCTCTTTTTGACAATCTTTTTATATCATTTTTTAGCCACAAAATAAAAAATTAAAAAAATTATTTTCATTAAATTTTCTTTCAATCAACCTAATAATATTCATAAGTTTTTGTGCCATTTAAATCAGTTTTTTGCTGTAGTTGTCAAAACCATTAGCTTTCTTTTTACTTCATCAAAAATGATCTTTTTTCTTGTTTTTAAAGCTTAACTTGATGTCTTTTTTTTTTTAATCTTGTTATATAAGAATATATATAACTTTTTATTTCACGATGTATATAAATCCATTTGTATTTTTGTCTTTCTCTTTTCAGTTCTTAATTTTTCTTTCTCTGATTGTCCATGTCCGGAATAAATATGTTCCTAGACATGCTGATGAGCCCTGATATTGGGCGAAACAATCATTTGTTGGTTTATATATTTTTTATATATTTTTATATATAAAAAGTTTCAAAGTAAAACTAAGATATGAGCTTCTCAATGAAATAGCAAAAAGAAAATCCCTTTAAATCCTCCAGCCCAAGGGCAGGAAGATTTAGGGGATACATAGGGGGCAGGCTATGGGAGCGATGGCCTCCCTTAGATGTTTTTTGTTATAAGAACATTTTGTAAAAACGTAAGTAAATTTGGTAGGCTGTTTAAAAGTGGCATAAAATTGTGTAGTCTAAGTTCTTTTTTTTTGGGCTTGCCTGCTTAAAAATCGTTAAACCTGTAAATCGTCCGATTTAATCGTTTGGATCGAACGAAAAGAAAAATTGCCCACCCCTCTTTACTACATAGTCTGGATCCGCCCTTTCTTATTCCTTCTTCCCCCCCCCCCCCCCCCCCATTTTTTCTATTTGCTTTGTGGGCGTAGTTGCGTCACTTACACATGGCGTAAAGCGCATTTTTTTGACGGGGTAAATTAAAAACCTGCATCCGCCCCTGCCTCGCCCCATAAGCTAATGCCTCGCATTAGCTTATTACATTAACTCTAAATGCACCAGCCATTGCTATAAACAAGCACCTAAGTGGTCTTTAAAGGGAGGGCATATAGTATTTCTATCTTATATAGGGCATACAGTATTTCTATCTTATCTTATACAGGGCATATAGTGTTTCTATCTTATATATATTTCTTATCTTATAGTCTATGTAAGTCAAAAGAGTTATGTTGTACAATAGAATTACATATTTCTGTAATAGAAATACGTGTCAAAAAAACCAACAAACAATTAAATGCGAAGTTCTTAAAAATCTTACTCTTATTACGTCATTCACATTAATTATATGAAGATGTAATAGGAGCTCTGGTCACAGTATTTAAAACCAGAGATTTACAAACTCTGATGCTAGTAATTAGTTTCTTTATGTAATTTTATTTTTTCCGTTGAGACTGAGTGACAACCAAAAAATTATTTAGCATAATCCGTGACCTTTATCCACACTTTATTGACAACCAATCATTTTTTTTTTAAAAAAAAAAAACAACAAATCTTTTCACTACAACAGAAACTAAGTTTTAAAAAAGACTTAAATTATTCCAACATTTATAAGACCCGTCGAATCTTCAATTGTTGTTAAACATAACCTAATACACTGAATGATAAATGGAAAAGTTTGAAATTAATTGACTGACACAAGTTCCCAACATGTTGCATATGTGGCGCAACTCTTAAAACGTGTATTCGTTTTTTTAAGTGCATGTTACTCATTAGATATCGTTTGAATATAAAAAAGTGGCTTGATGTAGATAAATTTAGTTCAAAAACGTTCAGAGGATTTCAAAAAAGAAAACTTAAAAATCATATCGGCCTTATTCTAGACAAACTAAAAATTTATTTGAGAATGCAAATGAAGGGAAAACAGCTCTTATGAAGCCAGAGTTAAGTGGTGAGAAAACGGGTTTAGACGTCAGTCTCTTAAAAAGCTTTATTATTTTATTAAGAACACTTTTCTCTGGCTATTATATTAATTATAATAAGTTATAAAAACTTTGTTCTGAAACCAAAACTCCTTACCATAATCTACATCCGTGATACTATATGCCTGTCACTTTGCTCAAAATATTTGTCCATAGCACCGAAGTTATAAAAACATGTCTTCTTCTAATCGGACAACTATCGGAAGGGTCTCAAGAATCGGGCAATAGAAATTTTTTCGCATTTAACAAGCATCATATAAGAAAAAAACTCACTTTCTTCTGCAGATGTAGATTTGCTCAATACGCTTTTGATAACATCAGATCTTTCCATCGGCTCGCACAGATAATTGTCAAGTGAGAAACCGGTAAATTTCCATTGGAAGTTTTGAAGTTGTCAGATCAATTTAATTGTCCGTCCTGTAATATCAAACGTCAAAATGTATCAACTTGTTTAAGAGTATTTTGTGATGAGACTGAATCTGCTATAAAAACTGATTTTTTATGGATGGACCTCAGTGTTTTTATCTATTATTATCAACATTTTTAAAATTGTTAATGTTAAAAGACTTCATGAAGATATTTGTACTAGAGATAAATATCGTTGTATTTTTTCATCAAATGATGATAAACGATTGAACTTTCTTTTAAATTTGGCTGATATGGTCAAAAAAATGGCTCCTGAAAAACAAGGTCATAGACTAAAAATCTAACCAAAGATACTTCTTGTGCTTTTTCCCATACATGTCGTGGGATGGTTGAACTAGTAAACATTTACTAACTACAAGTCATAAGTATATATTGCAAGTCATAAGTATGTATTGCAAGTCCTAAGTATGTATTGCAAGTCATAAGTATGTATGCAAGTATTAAGTATGTATTGTAAGATGATACTTTGTTCAATGTGTTTCATAATCTTCCATTTATTGAAAGTAATTTGTCTAAAGAAATTAAAATGTCAATAGGGAAGATCCTCCAGTTGAAGATAAATCATTTTATTTTGAGCAGTTTAGAGATTATGTCAGAGAGATTAATCGTGGTGATTTGAGCTTGCCTGGAAATAACATTTGCCATTGATCATCTTATTTAGATGTATAAATAAAATATATCATTGATACATTTTATTTCATCATCTTTACACTTTTGTCTGTCGTGTTAGCTTATCTAACTGTTTTTGATGGTATCTGACTTTTATGGATTTACCAATGTTTCAAAAAAATATTGTTAATCCTTGAAAAAATATTTTTTAACAACTATTGCGATCTCTTTATCCCACAATCTTCAGAGAAACCCAAAATCGAAATTTTGAAGTTATCTTAAATGTAGAATATATATATATATATATATATATATATATATATATATATATATATATATATATATATATATATATATATATATATATATATATATATATATATATATATATATATATATATATATATATATTATATATATATATATATATATATATATATATATATATATATATATATATATATATATTGACTAACTGTAGTTTTTTTTTAAAAATTTATTTTATTATATAGATTTTAGAGTTTTTTGCACAATAAAATGTGAGTTTTTACTATATTATACCTTATGAAATGTGTTTGAATTTAATATACAATTTTTTATTTATTTCGGAGCTTGAATTGATTTAATTGTTACAAAAATCTTTATTTATGACTTATATATAAATCATTTTTTATCATAAATTTAAAAAAAAGCTGTATGCTTCATAAAAAAAACTCGCATACAGTTTTTATAAAAGCCGTATGTTTACTCGGCCTGTCACTATAGTAGGCCATGGTTTATCGCAAGCATTTAATATTAGAAGACGAAAAATAGAATTGAAGTTAGAATAAGAGTTATTTTAAAGATTACTTTACATGTCTGTTGATCAAAACTTAAGTACTATACTTGTTGTATTGGAAAATTTGACGGAAGTTTATGTAATTCAAGTAATTCAAGGTTTTATTGACTTTTTCTCAGAACTTTCGAACAAAGAACAGAGTATAATTGTCAGTTAACTTAATAAATTAATGCCAAGTTAACTTAATAAACATGAAGACGTTTTGAATTTACATCACAACAAAAATATAATTTTTTATAATAAATAACAAAAATCAAATAGTTAAAAAATAAAAATAGATAAATATATTTTGTGTTAAAAATATTAATTTTTTTATTTTCTGAATAAAAAAAAGATTAAGCCCATTTAAAAGAAAAATCAAAATTAGGTAACACCATTACGAAAATACACCTTACGAAAATACACCTTACGAAATAGATTACTATAAGAAATACAAAAGTGGCCATTTTTATTTATGCAAAATTTTACTGAGATGAAAATCGATTTGTTTTTGGGTTTCAAATAATAAAGATTTATAAATGTAATAGGCAATAAATTTTTTTATTTTGTAAACATGACAGTGTTTAAATGTAACAAAAATATTTGTCAATATTTTATCTACATAGATCAATAATACTCCACCTATCCTTATTTCTATTATTATTATTATTATTTTTTTTTTTTCTAAAGAGCGCAAAAAAAAAGACTGATGATGTATCTAGCATTTTAGCTAAAAGTTCCATTTCTAAAGACAAGTGAAAAGATTCTATAGCTGGGTTTTATTTTAAATATAAATAGTTTAGTATGTTATGAAAAAGTTCTAAAAATTAAATTATGTAATAAATAATTATTAAACAAATATATATGAATAATTAATAAATCAATGTCGTTGAGCGTACACACACACACACACACACACACACACACACAAACACACAGACACATACATATGGGAATGTATGTGTGTGCGTGTGTGAGCGTAATAACTTTACTTTTTAATTTTTTATAATTGTACAATCAACATAGATTTCTAAATCAATTTTTTAATCTACATCAACAAACTATTGATTTTTATAATAAACTTATAGATACAGATCATATACCACATATAGATGCATGTTATATATAAAAATAATAATAACAACAAGCAAATAAATAAGAACACGTAAAATTTGTACATTTTTTATTGACGCGTTTTGCGTATCAGTTGTCCAGTTAAATTCGAATTTGAATCTTTGTTAGATTTAGAGGTAGTCGTACGCCCAGCACCTTTAATTTTACTTGTAGCAAATCTTGCATCTTTATTATCTTTAACAAAAGAGTCAGGATTAACCTTTCGACTTGATAAACGAACTAGGAAAAAAAAGCTAGTTAACCTAAGAACGCACTTATATGGGGTGATTGTGTACACATCAAGGGACACTGTAATGCAAATTTTGAAATCTTTTAATTTTGTCCATGGAAATTAATTTAATTTGAATGTTCAAACAGCATTGCCAAACAACTTTGCACAAGCATCAACCCCAAAAATTTATAACTTTTTTAAAGAGGTTAGTATATATCATTGTTTTATATATAAAATAATATATATAAACTTTATATATTATTTTATATATAAAATTATTTTATTATTTTATATTCAAGTCACCTTTTAAAACCCGATACATTATTATCATTATTATTATTATTATTATTATTATTATTATTATTATTATTATTGTTACGTTTCACGTCAAAGCACTATATATTATTATTGTGTAACGCATTTTTTACGCTTCTTTTGCTGCGGTCACTTTAAAAAAGAAATAAAAATTTCGGAAACCGGTTAATCTTCGTAAGAGGTGTGTGTTAAAGCGGTCGATTTTGAAAAAGTCGTGTTATTTTTGCGAATAATGAACAAAAATAATTTTGCTAAGGAACAAAACCTATTTGCTTAATGAAACTATGTGTAAAAATATTAAAACGAAATTACTGAAGGTTCATCAGTAATCTAGCTTGGAGTTGCTCAACGCCGCAAGATTACTTGAGGCTAAATTTGATTGAGCCCAGTGTTCGAAAGTTTCCAGATTTGGCAAGACACTTGGATGTGGTTTGAAGACCACAACTTATAATTGCTACTTTCATATCGGAAGCTAAAATTTGTTGAACTTTTTTTATTTTTTTATTATTTTGTTATTCAGGAGCCCCAAGAAGACCTAACGGTCTTGTCACAGAGCACCGCGGAGGTGCATTTAACAAGGAAGTTCACGCCTCCTTTATTACCGTAAAGCGAAAATATGTCCAGAGCTCGTTTCGAGCCTGGATCTCCTGCTACTAAAGCAAGCGCTCTCCATTAACTCCATTTGCCTTAATCAATGTTAAGATTTGTTCAATGTTAGAGTGAGTTTCTGGCAAATCTTCTTATACCGCAACAAAAATTGGTCTCTTAACTCCAGTGTCTTTGCCAGTCCGTTATATGAGAGGTTGTTTTTGAGGCAATGAGCTTGTATCAACTCTTAACGCAGTATCAATATACTTAGACAAAACTTGATAAAATCTTTTTCACCATCAATTCAGAGCTTTCAAGCTTAATAAAATATCCACCAGAAATTTTCCGATATTAAATAACATGATTCACAGACTTGATAAGTCGTTACAGTAAGCAACAACCCAAACTGTACCAGAATCTCGTTTTTCCGTCGGAAGTTTTTAAGTCACAGCAGGTGAAGAAATCACTCTAGTGTTGACCTGCTCTTAAGAAATTTTTATAAAAATTTGGCTCTACCATCTTGCTGCTTGATGTTTGGTTTATAGTTCTTACCAGTTTCTTTAATACATCGTTTGATAGTGCAAGAGAGGTCAATTTTGGAGTGCTTGATAATGGCTGTGCACTAATTTGACCTGAAACAAAAACATGCATGTTTTATCTTTATATTAAACTTTGTTCAGAAAGTTTGTTTAAAATTTTCAAATTATTTGTTTTTAAAGTGATTAAAAACAAGTTAAATATACTTTCCAAAATCTATAAGAGCAAGTCAAATAGTTCCTTTAGGGGATAATTCTTCATTGGAAATAACTCAAGATGCAATTTGTTTGGCTGGTTTTCCCTGAACTTTATTTGAAAGCTTTGGTGGAGCAAACCTTTTCCTAAAGGACAAAAGCATGTGCTGCAACGTAATTTGGTTCTTTATCAGTGGTGGTTTGTTCTTCAAGAGGATGTTTTTCTTGCAGCTTTGAACGACCAATTTGGCAGATAAGCCAATAACACATCGTGCATTTTGTTTCAGGTCTTATTTTTATTCACTGGAAATTAAACTAAGGAAGGAATTTCCTCTTTTGTTTCTTGCGCAAAATTGTTCTACACGATTCGCAAAGTCCTTGTACCCAAGAATCACTGATATCGATCTTTGTCTCATACAGTTTGCAAATTCGATCTGCTTGGAAAGCAGTAAGCTTTCTAAGCAGATCGAATTCCAAGCAAGTCTTAAACATTTTTTCCGACAGAGCAAGCATACAAATTTTTGATTTTCATCGTGATTTGCTTGATATGACATTGTGGCAATTTACTTATTCTAACTTTATTAAATTAAACTATCCCTTTTACAAAACTTAACCTAAATTTATATTGGATAAAAATCTATTAACATACCTGCATATATTATTAATTACAAATGATTAAAATTAAAGAAATAATTACTTAAATTACTTAAAATAATCATTTAAATTAATGACATTTTTGACAGTAGATTGTATCTAAGAAAATGCTAATATATTCACGCAATGCATAAGCCAAGTCAAACCATTATTTTGGTCCATAAAATAAAAATAGTAGTTAAAGCAATAAAACAATTATAACAAAAATTGTTGGTATTACAGCCTAGAACACTCATGTAACCATTATTTTGAAAATAGAGACCGAAAACCAATAATCTGTGATGTTTTGATTTATAAGCAGCAAAAAACTAACAAAATATAAATTAAAACTGCCATAAATCTATAATTAGTAAACCAATCCGGCTGAAATTTTATCCATAGTTTGATGTGGCCGTATGCTACATTTGCAATAATTTTTATAAAATTATATTGAGTGGTTCTGTTTTTACTTTATTTAAAGCTATACTACAGCTTTTTTCTAATTTAATTTTTTTTTGTAATTTTAAGCAACAATAACAAAGAATTTTTACTGTTAAAAAATCAGAAAAATTATATCAATCATCGCTTTTTTGTTGTGATTTTTTGCAGCAATTTTAAATTGTATTCAATATTGCCGGAAAGATCTTATATCACAAAGAAAATGATGCCAGTTTCTGAAAAAGTTAATTTAGCTGACGTTGCAACTTTTATTTACAAAATTAAAAATATCTGTGACTATAGATAACTGACTGATTTTAAAATATTATTTAGCGATCACTAATCTCATATTTGTTAACTTTGAAGCAGAATGTGTGTTGATTTATTTTATAGTATTCCTGCTACATGTCATAATGTCTGCCTATATCAAACGGATTGTTAATGTTTTTAAGATGTGAAGTAGGGAGTTATGTATAACTGCTAGCGGTTAGATAAGAAAACGTACGTTAGACTTAAAATAAAATCAATGAACTTTACAGCTTTGTTGTAAAGGACATTTAAATAAGTATAAAACCACTCACATCATTTATCATTGCTCACAACTCAAAGACATTTTTAAAAAACAGTTCGAATGAAACAGATTTATTTCATGCAACAAATATTACTCGGTAGTGCGTATTGCAAATTTCTAATTGCTAATCTTGACTAGCAAAAGGTTTCTCAGAAACACAGGTTATAACAGTCTTTAGTTGAGTTCAATAGGTGTTTAAAATGAGGGAATACATCAATTAATATTAAAGGAATTAATTGATGTATTCCCACCGTTTACATGGATAAAAGTTGTTATATTATATGATAAAAATTTATATATACATACTGATTTAAATTTTGAAACAAGCTGTAACTGAGAAGTCTAAACTTTCTATTAATCTTGTTAATTAAATTGTATTTATTTGTTGTACAAATTTGAGTTTTAGCTTTCCGAACTGATTCAATGTGACTTATTTTTAACATATATTAGCTGTAAAAGTTTGATGGATTTTAGTTTTCTGAACTGATTTAAGGCAACTTATATATACAAATTTTAACTTATATATGTTCAAACTACTCATCAAACGTGACGTCAACTTCAATTTTTTTATAACTTAGTATACCTTTAGCTGCATTAATAGGTTCTTATTAGAGACACATTTAGTTAGAGTATGGTAAGAGATTTTTTTAAAAATATACATTACATTTAACGATAAAATATCTTCTTTTTTTTAAATATACATACATTTAACGATAAAATATCATTTGACTATTGAGACATTTGACTATTGAGACATTTGACTATTGAGACATTTAACTATTGAGACATTTGACTATTGAGAAACTAACCTTAAGCGGTCAGTATTTGGTTAGCTAACCACAAGCGATCTGTTTATGCTATATAAAAAAAGGCGTTAGTAGTTTTATATTTTCAAATATTACTGTTTCCTAATGACTAAGTGCTCTCCATTAACTCCATTTGAAAGAAAGCATCTTGAACCGCGGGTAAACCAACAGAAAAAGAGTCTTCTAAGAGTAATTAGTTTTAAAAATTCCAAACTCTGTATCAATCTGAGTTGACAAAGAGTGTTTAACCTTTCTAAGCCTAACTTAGAAAAAAGGTTTCACTTGCTTCATTCAGTATAAAAGCTTAAATCTAATAAACATTCTTTTCAAGTGTAATACAACAAAAAGAAACAGAAAAAAAAAGAATCAATACCATATTGTTAGAAAAAAAAAAAGCAGTTTAATTGTTTGTTGCTATTAAACGTATATATTAAATTCTATATATATCTTCAGTGTGTCTCCAGCCACAGTGACCTTTTGATGAGACCATGTTGAACATGTCGTAGTGATAAGTGATTCAAGACATGTAAAAAAATTTTCAATGTAAATTTTTTTTTCGATACTTTTTAATTCAATTCAACGCTTGTTTTAATACTTCTGCTAAATATTTAAGCATCCAATAATTGTTAGGATAGAATAGATAATAGAGCGGGGCATATAGGGACACTTAAGAAACAAATGCTAGTTGTGGATAAACTAATCAAAGTTAACACTATTTTTTATAAATTTCCTAATATTTATTGATATAGGAAAATGAAAAAATTACAAAAAAAACTTCTAAAAATAAGTTATGACAACCAAAGTAACGAAACTCTAGGCAAACAAAGCTTTTACATTTTGCAGGACAGTTAAAAAGCAGCAGTTATTCGTCAATTGTAATGCTTTAACAATAATGAAAAATGAAGGCTTTTCATCGTTTAAATATGTTCAGACATTAAACTCTCAAAAAAGTAACATACCCATAGAATCTACACGCCGTTGCACCCATACACCACAAAAATGAAATAACAGCTAAAATTAAAATAATTTCTGTGTTTTATTATAAAATACCTCCGCTCTACTCTAACCTATTTATTATTAAATTGGTAATAATAAAATACCTCCGCTCTACTCTAACCTATTTATTATTAAATTGGTAACTACTAAATTTGAAATTAAACAAAAAAACTTATAGATCACAAAATCACATAAAAAATATCCTAAAATTTACCTTTGGTAACATTTTTGATGAGCTGGCTTAATAGCAATAATCCGATGTAGAGCAAATTTAAATATGTATCAGTAGCTTTTTTAATTCTATGATTCTTTTTACTCATAGCTAAAACATTTTATCCTATTTTTTATGATTGATCTTTCTTACATAATTACTTACCAACTTTTTTACATTAAACTCTATTAATAATCAGATTAAGTTATAAAAAATAGGAATTTCTTTTAATTTATTACTAAAATTTCTTTTCTAAACAAGAAAAATTATATTTTAAATTAAAAATAAAATCATCAAACTGTCAACATCACGAAATGATAGTATTATATTCATTATATAAATAACTTGTTGTCCTGAAATGCCCTAAAAAGTCATTTTTCTAAAATTAATACTATTTTTTTTTTTTTTTTTTTTTTTTTTTTTTGTAGTTATTATGTCTTCCAGAAATCCTTAGAATCTTATCACAGAGCACCGCGGGAGAGCATTTAACGGGAAGTTCGCGCCTCCTTCTGTACCAATGTAGCTTGTTGGGCTAGAGCTGGCGTCGAAAATCGGACCTATGGTTTTTGAGTCCATCCTATTTTGACCCTCATGAACATATTTTAATACGCGGAGTGTCGTGAAATATTCCCAAGGTATTGCTTTCTTAACAAAAATTTTTTAATTTTTTTATTTTAGATGACTATTTATACTCGCGCCATTTTTTTAAAGTCACGCCACTCTTTTAAAACATTTTTACATTTTTTGAGTTTTTACAGACATTTTCAAACAATCGGCGCGTATAGAAATTAACAAATCATTAACTATATAATAACTTTATTACACAATCGGTATAGGTTTTTTATCTATACCGATTGTGCGCATTTTTATTATTATTATTTTTGTTATCTGGTGGTATTTTAAAAAAGCATAAATTTGTTATGAAATTAAAAAAACATGGTTTTGTAAACACGTTAGCGATGAGGCCCAATACACAGGAATTAGAAGTTTGATAGATGCTTTTGATTTCATACAGATTAACCCACTTCAAGCCCTGGGTATTTGAAAGAGGTTTGTACAAGATTAGCTAAGTTTGCTGGCCAACCATTATTCTTTTTAACCTTCTTCCATCATTTCGGAGGGCTTCATATAGCCGTAGCCGTCAATAAAACTGTTAAGCTGCGGAATAAACTATTTATATCATAAAACCATAAAACTTTAAAAGTCAGTATAGTAAAGATAAAAGTGATTAAAATATCTTTTTGCAAAAATAAAATGAATAAATTTCTAATTTTAAAATTATTTACATAAAGATTTTAGAAATGTGCAGAGATTTATGGGAGGAAAAAATCAGAACATTAGGTTAAAATTGACAAATATGGAGCTGTTTCACACGCCTTGAAGTTCATGAAATTCAAGTTGTATTTCTCTAAAATCAGGCAGGTTTTTATTCTGAGTACAATCTTTAAGTGATCAAAAAAATGCTTGGAAATTGCCATAAATTTAGTCAAAAATCATAAAAAGCGCAACTTCGAAC